TTTAAAAAAAAAATTTTAACTGTAGCATATTTGTTTACAATATTATTTAGAATGATTGATTACTATTTATTCTTGAAAATAACATTTATCTCGTTCAAATTGTTAACTTTATCAGTGTAAACCTTATTAATAAGTAACAATAAGTTATGTTACAATGTGTCTTCTTCAGGCGGAACAGCATTCGCAAAGAAAATAACAAACAGTCGCAGTGTTGTTTTTCTATACTGGTTTCCTTCAAAGTTTTTTACAAAATGCGTAACTGTGTAGCTTGTCCAAAACAATCGAAGTTGCCGGAAAAGAACAAACAGGTGGTGGAAAAACCCACAAAAACCCGGTGACCCTGAAATCTAGAACTCCCGGTCCCGCCCAGACGACTTCCCGCTCGCTTAATGCGACGTTTCCGAATAATTTAAACCCATAAATGTGTGATAAGTGGCCCATGGCGTAATTTGGCATCGCGTCAATTTTCAGAGTGGAAAATCGACTTTGAGAGATTAGCAACATCATTTAGGTTAGAGATTCCTCATTTAAATTATTTCTTCAAAGGTATAATATTTTGGTTGCAAGAAAGATAATATTTCTTACAGTTACCTGAACAAGTGGGCTTCCTTGCACGGATTATAGCACGTCAAGTAGCTGATTGATGCATTTACTTACTTTTACCGCACCCATTTTTCTTTTGCCACACTCCAGTATTCCAACCAAACAACACAAGACAGTGTGCTTTTATTAGGCAAGTAATATGTGTCCGCTTGAAAATAAGTTAGCAACACTTAAATACTACGACTACGATCAGCTGATTCCCATTTCGACGTTTGGATTTAACCTAACCTAAAAACGTGTACTATAGTGTTTGAAAATTAAGTATTTATATGCTTTATAGTAACTGTAGGAAAACTATACTCTCTGTGTTTTGTATGAGTGTTAAAATAATAATGTAGCTTTTCTCCTACACATTCATATTTATTGTCAAAATTAAAAGTAAGAGTGGAAAGAAACCAAGTCGGATTATCAGTTTTCCTCAAATATCCGGTTAATTCATTGATGTCGACCACAACAATAAGGTATGTATTTTTCCATTTTTTCCTTCGATCCTGCAGATACAGTTTGATTAAATGAATATCTTGGGTTTTATTTCAGAGGAAATCGACAGCTTCCTAACAAATTGTTATCTATTTGGTTAAAATACTTTTGAAGTTATTTAAAAACCAATAAAATTTTCAACAACAAAAACAAAACATGCTCTACAATAAGTTGGAGGGACGTCATCTTAAAATTGGACCAAGTATTTTATATCTGTGATACAATAATAATTGTGAGACCAATTTCTTTCTATTCCTACGGGGTGGATTTTTTAATTTATATTATTTTATTTGCTTATACTACGAGAGAAGAAATTGTTTGCCGATAAAATGCTGTGTTCAAACAGTTTTAGGGCTAATTACATAATCAGAAACTGCACAGAACCATGCAAAAATTACTCGGCTACTCTATAAAGATTTACTGATATGGGTCGATCAAAGTCTTCGGGGAGATTTCGTTCCTTTTCACTGCATATTTGCAATGTTCTTAAATGAACAGCTATCATAATGTTATTTATATTTTTGTAGCGCGTTTGATATTATATGTTTGTCTTATTTTCCCTCCATCTATATACTCAAATAATAAGGATCGCGAACTTTTGAGAAACCCACAAGCCGCACACCTACTAACGTGAAACTTCCCCGAAAAATATCAGTTTTTCGATAAACCCTCTGGTAGCACGAACCTCAACTAAAGGGTTGTATTTAATCACATTTAAAATACCAAGGATGCTTTTTTTGTTAAATTTGTTTTCATGTATAAATTGTTTTACCCTGAGCTAAACTTTTGATTTTCGTTGTAGATGTTTACATTACGATAAAGTTATTAGTTTTGATTCTGCCACACAGTTTATTTGAAATAAACAAGAGGTTTTTATTAAAATTATTAATAATTACGATTTAGATTTGCCTGTGTGATCCATGTAGGTATGTGTGTAACTATTTTCATAGTAGATTTAGAGACCCTAATCTTCTAAATATTCTTTCCTCGTTGCGAAGCATGGAAAGGACAGTATTAAATTTAAAGTAATTGATTTAACTAATTAATTAACTCTGTGAACAACGTCAGTATAATTACTGACGTTGTTCACAGATTTGTTAATACAAATGTAAATTATTCTAACTACCCACTTTACCCTGTTTTACCCTTTTGTCCCTCGCTCCCCGAGATGTACCCTAGTCTCGCTCTGGTTGCTGACGTTTCTACCATGACCAATTACTTGAAATTGGACCAGAAACACCGCAGGGTAATTATCTGGTTGTAGACGCCATTGTTGTATTGTTAGGCGACGCTGTATTCTGATTGGTCCATTGTTACGAGGGTTCGACGTATTTGGAACGCTATGTGGCGATTCTGTGTGTTATTAGCCGTGTTTCCATAGCGAAACAGTTATATGTTGCACTTCCAAATCTAGGCAAATATCAATTACTTAATTGGCTCTTTTCGTTATTTACCACCACTATAGTGTTTTTTTTTTATTTTGGTTCTCATCCTAAGCTAACCTAAACTAACTGGTGCTGAATTTACGGAATTAAAGTGAAAGTAGGGGTGATTCAAAATTAACGGAAAATGATTGCTCATTAACAAAAAGCAAATTTTTATTAAAATGTTTAATACTTAAGATGTTGTAATCATTTTCAAAGGAATAAATCTGTCTAAGCAATGTTAAAGATACAAAATGGACACCTCGCTTGGATGTTTTGTGTGTTTGTGTCTTTATTGAAGCCAAGCGAGAAATATTTTAGTAACAGAGCTTAATATTTGTATAAACTCTGCTAATACATAACTTCTGCTGAATCCCTCTACGAGTCCTTACCAAAGCCTTTGGACTGAATAAGATCAGCTGTTTAATTAGTCTGGACTAAAAAAAGGGCATACATCCATCCAGTAGTCAAAGACAGCTGGGAGTTTCAAAGCATCTAAAAGTTCACAGTTTTTTTTTCAGGATCGAACCGGTAACCATAAAATGAATTACTAGATGAGCATTCTTAGCTACCCAGAGCATAAAAACTAGGAATTTATTTTAATTTGTCTTTGGGGTACCACAGTAATTGAGTCACAAACGTATTTGAACATAATAAAGTTAAAATGAAAACTAAATCCATGTGCTATTCTGCATTAACATACAGCCGACACAAAAACACACAAACAAAAAAAGGGATAAATCCCTGTAAAGCTAGGAATATTAAACTATTTATAATTCCGATCGTGGCCTTCGAATTTACATATTGATTTCTTTAATAAGTATTACCGATTGCTGAAATTAATTTGATACTCCTTTAAATCGTGTCATCGGTAAAACCAGGCGTTGAAGTCTCTCGGCGAGGATCAAGTAAATTTATTCTACGGTTTCTGTTTTTTATATGTTTTCATTTAAATATATGTTTGGGTGGTACTCGTAAATGTTTTAAGTTCAAGCTGAGAGCTCACTGCACTTAATTAATTTTACAATTGCTGTAACTGAGGCTAACTTCCTTCTCATTGCCCAAAAGGTTTCACATCTTTCTCCTTTTCACTGCCATCCTTGATGGAAAAGTGTGTACCGTACATGGGTGTTTTAAAGATATAAATATGTGAGTGAGTATGGAGATGTGAATTTAATTTGTCACACGTGATATTATAGTTAATTATTACATGAATTCAAGGGGAATATTGGATGGGCCATGACATAATGCCCGCCAAAAGAAACATTTTATTTGCAATAATGGGCTTAATAGATAGCCTACATTATTTTAATTTTGACGATAAATCATGGAAATGCATGAAAAACATAGTTGGACAAGTTTTTATTTAACAATATTTGCTTAAACATTTAACCTTCTCTTGAAATTCTGCCATCCATCGTTTCTGGGTTTACACATTTACTTGAAGAGATTTATCTTCTCAAAAATCTTTAATGACTAGAAGCACTTTTGTGTTGTTTCTCACCTGTTTCTTCCACCTCTTATCTTTCAAATTCGATGCAGCTAAAGAGTGTTTAAGCGTTGTGTGACTGAACCATGAGTATGAAATGGATTTGATAGCGGGCGGTTGTTTGTCTTTTTCAGACTTTTCATCCATTCTTTGTCTGAGATTCCTATCTTCATTCTAGCACTATTCTACAAAAATCGCCATCTTTTCCAAATCAACCCCTTTTCTTTTATTCTCATTAGCATTTTCCCATTTATCAACATGATCAACTCTTACCTATCCACTACGCCTTTCCTTTATTCTCATCCTCATCCAAGCGTCCTTTCCACAAAGTGTTATCTTTTACAACGCCTTTCTTTTTCTTTATTTAGAGATTTGTTCATCCTAGAATTTTACTCCAAAAATCCTTAAATATTTCATCTTTCAAGCATCATTCCGCTACCCAATACCAGAATCTTCTACTGCTATAGTTAGCTTGCGACTGCTGACCTAGGAAGTAGCAGTGTCAAATGCAGGACGGCTAACTGGGTAGGTGAGCGACAGTGATCACCTAGTTATTGTAAGTTAGCCTTCGTTTCAATAATGATAAAATTCAGTATCTTTTTGATGGTTTGTAACTGCAATCAGTTGTCCTTGGTCATTGAGCTTTGGCCAATGAACCCGCTGATTTCTAGCTTGTAATTTATTCAACCCTCATTCCTCACTCATCTTCGTCTTAAAATAAGCACTTTATTGGGTGGTCATAAAAATAAAACTATCACCATGTTTTTAATCAAATGTTTTTCTTTCCTTAAAGCCTCCTTCTTACATCCCCACCCACATTACTATCGAAAAATACTATTTTACTCGCGTTTTTCTCAATCATTATTTTCAGACCTAACTCTTCACTCTTCTGTAATTAATTTTCCACCCCAATCCACCCTTTGCACGCTGCTCGCAGCACATCCCCCCTCTTATTCTCAATAATATAAGGAGGCTACAGCGCCGCGCCGCGCACATAGTGTCTGCACCGCGCAGTGAAAGTGAATGTCTTGAGCACGGCGCATGCGCACCGATCCAGTATAAATAAAAAGGAAAGCTGCGCGCCGCCTCTTCGAGCTCCAGTGCAAGATGAGGTCTCGACAGCTCGCCCCATGGCTGCTGTTAGTTCTAGCGTTGTGTGAGTACTTCATTTTTCAATTACGATTTAAAATAGGGTTGATAACCTTGAGGGGTTTGTATAACAGATACGTATTGATTTGAGTGTTCTGTGGTCGTTAATTATTTATTACATTATTCATGCTTTTATAGAGTTCCTTTTTCTTCATCTGTTAATTTAGGTTAGATCTGGGTTAGTTTTTTGGGTTTGGTTAAATTAATTGCAAATTCACAATTTATCAATGGACTCATTTGAAACAATGCGTGTTGAAGGACACGAAGCTATTTTGAGATAAGCTTTTTATAGTTTGGTGAAAGTGTAAAAGGTTTTCTTTGTTGTCAAATCACCCTTGAAACGTTTTTGTTGTATTATTGACAGTTTGGTGCAAACAAGGACAATTAAATATCAATAGTAAAATGGCTTAGTTATAGCTTTTAATTTATTATTTAATTGCCAACTTCAAGAAAAGTATCAGTCGTGTGTTTATTCTTAACAGTTTTGTACATAATCATTACAACTCATTATTTATCCAATCTGTTAATGATTTAAATCGATTTAATACCTTTTAAAGTATTGGATCTATAATCTACTTTAAATTGAATGGTATAAGTTAGATATGATAACCATTTATTGGTAAGGGATTGATTTTGAAATTGTATACCCACCGCATGCTACAAGATAAGGTATTGATAAGAAAGAACTTGTGATAATAATGTATCTCATTATAATTAATTTCCCCTCGTGCCTCAAAATTTAAATGTACATATATAAATAGGTACTGTATAGGTTTATCGCTCCCGGCTCTCGGTAGCATTTGGTACTCAACACTCTCTGGAGACATAGAGGTCGCTAGTCTTCCAGCCTACCCCTACCCCCCCCCCTCACCCTGCCAACCATGCCCTACCTCGGCCGCCATCTTGGATTAGAAACCTGCATTAAATATACCTTGTTATGCAATTGGCTACGTGGACAAAACAGGCCTCATTCACACGCCTTGTTAACCTCATATTGAAATTGCAAGCCAAATTTGACTCGGCAAACTGAGCAGCCTGACAAAACAAGGCTTTGCGTTTCTTCAATATATTGTGCACTTTCTATAGACACTTCAAATAGATTGGATATAACAACTTTGAGAAAACGTCTCTGGACGATTGAATTTAATGTCTTGGGTTTGATTTGTTTTTGGGACTGTTCGCTGTAAGCAGTATTAAAGATTATAGGGGTGTCAAAATTAATTGTTATTTGCGTATTTTATACACAAATATTATTGTAATTTTTAGTTGTGTATACATACGAGTTTCTTGCAGAACACGTGTATTATCTTATAATCCACATTGAAACGCTATCGTTAAAATAACCTTGAAATAGATCAGTGATGTTGAGATCGATTATTACCAATGTTTATGCAATTAGAAGGAGACAGCTTAATGGTTATAGTGATTGTTGGTTCAATCCTGGGAAAAGTTATGGTAGCTTTTTGGCGGTTCCAAACTGAATCCCGCTGTACTTTAACCTTCGTCTCTTGGTAAGTGGCGTACTCTAAACAAACAGGCCGTACGGTATATTGTTGGTTACGTTTTTATGACGCACGTGTCAACAAAGAACAATACTAGTCCATATGGACGTGTGTATTACAACAGTGACAAGCTCTGAAACGTGTGGTTCGTCCGTTTATTTCTCAGTTGACAAGCTGAAGATTTTCCTAAATACTAGAATAAATCATCTGAATCTACATACTCTTTATAATAACCAAAGTAGTTATATCACTTATCAACTATCTATCATTCAAGGTCAACTATCAAAATTATCGATCAAAGGTCACTGTGGTCTTTGAAACAACTGATTTGTAACAAAACTACATGGATCATCTCACTCCATTCACACTCATATCTTGCTTTCATTTTCAGCTCCAAATACGTACCTAGGTGGGGCTGTTTCAAAAGTACTGTATTGTTGGGGATAATAATAGATTGTATATAGATATAGATGAACTGTTAGAACCTAATAAAATTTCCGAGTGAGCAAATAACCGCCCTTAAGTAACTAATCCGATATCGGTGTGATAACTTCTCAAAGCCACTGAGTTTCAAAGGTTACTTGGAACCCTAAACGTGTTATATGCTCAACGGCCCCTCTGACGTCATCGCTGCTTACATTGTATCCGCCACTATCTCTCCGCTCCGTCGATTGTTTATTCATACAGTATAACTCTTGCAGGTCCAAAGGTCATCCACATTCTTGTAGCGGTGTCTTATGACTCAACCGCGCCACCTTACATAACCGCAATATCTTGTACAACTTTCCTAATTTCCTTGCAGGATTTGCATAATTACATCGTTCACCGCCAATTATGTATGCAACTTACGAAATTGAAACATTGATTTTTATAGTTATTTTGGTGCAAGAGTTAGCGGTGATTGGTGAAATTAGTATTTTTTTATATTCTATGGTGCGTTTATCGGGTGAGATGCCTGATATAGGTATGATTGTAAAATCCTATATTAAAATCCATTGACTTTGGAAAGCGCAAGTATACCCTCTTGGCCGCCCATGGGTGTCACCCCTAAGGGGTGTCGACTAAATTTCCCTTTCTTTCTTAATTTATTATTAATTTTACAACTTTTTATTTACTCTTTACCTAACAAATAGTTCACCTTGTATGTTTTACATTCAGTTTCGGAGTTGGTTAAATTCAGTAACGGGAAACAAAATATAGTAAACAATGAACTTTATTTAAATTTTCTGAAAAAGATTAGCCGTCAAATAAGATTGGTTGACATAATTTGTTTAGATACCTTTATACATATTCGGTTTTTATAAGAAACCATATTTCAGACCATAAAAGTAGTCGAGAATTAAATTATTACTTCAATCGAAAATCGTTACCCAAGTTCAGTAAACAAAATCACATAGAGACACGGCCACGACATTTTTGTGTTCGTTCTGATATTATAAGCCGGCATTTCTTTGTATTAGCAATGAATACAATTGGTTGTATATATAATACAATAGGTTGTATTCATTGGTATTAGAAAACTCTTGACACCAAAAGTCATACAATAAAATCAGTATTCATTATTTTCATTGCATGAGACAGCGCCACAACTGTGCGTTTCAACTTGAATCTTCACCATGACGTTTGTGTTGTCTTGAACAATGAACTTTGTCATAACAGTTCTCTTTTTTACTTTCTGCACTCTTATATTCTAAAAAAAATGTAGTATTTCAATGGCCACAATTCACTGTTTTCCATCTCCTGCTCCACAGGATTCATCACGTTTGTTATGTTACAGCCAGTGTCACAGCTCACAGACAGAAGAGACAAGATGACGACGATGGCGGCGACGAGCCTGACCAATCAGTGGACGAACTCTGCAAGGACAGACCTCCAGATGAGTACTTTCGTCTGACAACCACGGGAGACTGCAGGGATGTCGTGAGGTAAGACATGTTCTACTAACAAATACTGTGACGTATCCAACGGCATGTTGAGATTCATACTCGACCTACCCCAATTCACTTCTGACGATTCACTAAATATAACCATAGATTACAGGAGTAGACCTAACGTTTCCAAGAAGAGGACAAAGTTGTCAATGTCAATTATTTAAACAGAGTCTGATCAATCTTATTTGTCATAAAGAGAGAAAATCAAACCGAGGAAAAGGATTTTGAAAATCAGCGTTCTAGTACTCCTAAGTACTAGATAGGGTGTATTTTTATTGACATTTAGATGTTGGTTTTTGCATTTTTAAGTGTAAGGTTTCTTTTTGTTTAGGCAAGAGAACTGTCTAAACTTCAGATAAACGCAATTTAGTCATTGACCTGAAAGATTGGATACATTTTTGTTGAAAAACCTAAATTCTAGATATACCATGTTCTGTTCCATTCAGGATGAAATTCTTTTGTCTAAGACCTCATGTGTGCTTGAATCTATATGGTCAGTCTCTGGTTGATAAAGGACTTTGAGTAAAAGTTCTAAGTAATATTTTACCCCCCCCCCCCCCCCAACTCTTTCAGAAAATTGGATTATATTGTTCCTTTACTTGCATTAAACTTTGAGTCTAAAACCATCATAGGATATGTAACATGATACACATCCTGTATCATAAATAAACTGGACCATTGTATCAATCGTTTCTTTCAATTTGAATATTGATAGGAAAAATGTAAATATACCAAATAAAATTATATTTCTGTTATTACGTAAAGCCAAAGTATACAGGACTTTTTTGGCAAAACCAAAACCACACAAATATACACCATATTATGAACTCCAATCGAGATCTTTACTATTTCTTCTACTCTCATATGTTCCCGCCTGAAGACATTTTGTGTTTGTCAAGTTCTAACCAAGATTGCGTTCAGAAGTCAAGTTTCTTTAATTGGATGTGGATGACATTTTGTTTGCTGCAGGTGTGATAAGGCCGCTGAAAACGGCAAGACCCGTCTAGCCGGAGTTCGCTGCCCCAACGGCCTTGCCTTTGATATTGACCGTCAGACGTGTGATTGGAAAACCAATGTTAAAAATTGTGGAGAGCTTGAGAGTAAGTAACCTAAATGGAAAATGGGCGAGGCACAACAAATCGAGGTATGGATATGGGTTGAGAGTCCTTAAAACCTATATTTCCCAAAACTTTGAAATACACAATGTTCATTTTCAATGCCTTAATTTCATTACTATTTTTGGTTTGATCCCTTCTTCAGGGCAAAATGTTTTCTATCTTCATTGTATTGTTAGAACAATCTCGACTTCAAATACCATTTAATACCACCTTCAGTTTTGAGTCGAATTGACCTCTCCTCTTGGATGAAATATTTTATTAACTATTAGCACTGCACTTCGGATCTCTTCAACTTCAAGCTCAAATGTCATTAACTGCACCTCTCATGAAAATTCCTGAGTTTTTTGAGGATCACATTTCTCAATTTTATTATTTTTTTTCTGGTTGATATATGCAAAATTTCTCTTCTCCTAAATACTTAATTTTTTCATATAATACACACCATTCTTCCTTGTACTTATTATCATTATCAGCGGTTTTTTCAGGACCAAATTAAATGTCCCATGATCAAGGACAGCTGTGACTGGTTTCAAACCCTAAATCTGATACAAGTTTATATTTTTCATCTTCTTGGAACTACTAAGTTAGGTTTTGGAATGTTCTCAACTTATCTTAGAATCCACTGACTCGTGTTTTTGGCTGCAGTCCAGATCTCCGCCCAAACCATACCTCCGTGCTTGGTGTGTCTCGCCTGTCAATGTGTTATCCAACTGATTAGCTATAGTTGCCATTTTGTCCTATAGGTGCACAAAATCCGGTATGAAGCAAATTAGTTGTCCGTCAGGGCTGGCTTTCGACATTGATAAACAAACGTGCGATTGGAAGGGTAAAGTCAGCAACTGTGATAAACTGGACAGTAAGTGACAGGACGAAGAGATTCCAAACAGTAGACTTTGAACTGCTTCTTGCGATGGGGAGACATCCCAGGCCGTTTGGTTATTGTTCATTTTTTTAAGTAGGTGGGAATCAAAAATCAATGTGTAAAGACAAAAATAAAAAATTATAAGATAACTGTTTCCTTGACAGAGATTGTACAATCGACTACTTTAACCAATAGTAAATATTAAAATTCAGAAAAAAAACAAAAGATATTATTTTGATTTGATTCTTTTCATTTGCGATTTAAAAAATCTCAATTCATCCACTTTAAACCCTGTATCTTGTTATTTAAATAGGTACCACTTGAGCTACCAATTTGTATTTTTGAAAACCGAAAAATAAATTTTTTTGAACATCTCCAACTAATCAGCAGGAGCATTATTTGGAACTGCTCAAATGAAATGCTAGAAAAGTATTTCTCACGTCCACATTTTCGGTAATGTTAAAGACAATAATTGAAATGAGCTCAATTAATTTTCTTGTACAATCAAGGTGACATGTTAAAAACCCATATTTTCAGCATATTTATTTTTTTACTTATTCTACCATAACAAAATCTGCTGTTGAAGAAAGTAGATGAACCAAACGGATGGGATCCATGTATAATGTAGAAGCCAGTAGACGCCACATTTGATGTATTTGCTATATTGTATATTATTGATGAGAAGGTGGCACTCCTCTCCTGCATGCTCATTTTCTACTGCTTGCAAAACTGTTCATACTGTATAGCACTTTCCACATCGAATGTCCTTTCATAAGGCAACAGATAAAATTATTAAGTACAGTAGTAATTGGTGCATGAAAACGAGATTATGGTGTAGATCATGGTGTGTAGATTGCTTATAATTATTAAAGTTACACAAAATGGGTATGGACCGAAAGTAGTTGAAATTGTTGACATTACAATCATGTATCTACATTTATCTTCTCATACATAGTATTACTAACTTTTGGGATTCTTTAATTTGTCTTATATATATGGCTGATTGGAAACTTACACACTGATCTAAAAATTATAAAATTTATTTTAATTTAAAATTATTTATTGTATTAGTAAATAATATAAATAGTATTTCTTTATTTAAAACACATTAGACATTTATTGAAAGATATTTGGGTATTTTTACCTATTTATCCTTACAGTTCATATTCCAATTATTTTTATATTTTAACCCCGTATCTAGAATGAAATATGTCTGAATGACGAGAAAAATATTTACCTACAGTATGCAAAAAATCAAAAATATTTCCCAAAAACGTTGTTCTCTAATCCCTCAAGCATTTTATAGTTATTATTTTGGATGCAACTCTAATTTAAATTTTGTTTAAAAATATTTTTACTAAAATTTTGTTATTGCTTGTAAAAAGAAAATCTTTGGGGTTTTCAGAGGATAAAACATAAATGTAATACATTGTAATGCTAAACTTAATCATACCATGGACTTTTTCAAACTGATTAAATAAACAATTGTTCATTTCTACATTTCTTCATAAAATTACCATCTATGTTTTACCTTTTACCAAGAAATGATTTTTTGTAGTCATTATGCTTTATAATGTTAACTACTAACATAAAAATGACTTGGTTTAGTCGGTATTTTTTAAACATACTAACTCATGTAAATATGTAGCAATGTATTTTTTACTACCAAATAGTTTAGAATTAGCTGTAGTGATATATAAGCATTAAAACTTTTTTTTTTATTCTCATGTTGTTGTTGAGTATTTTATAACAATTTAAAACAAGATGCTTCGTTTCAGTGAGTAAATGCAAGAAAGGTAAATACATCCTTTGAATTGAAAATAGGAAAAATTAACATTTTAATGGAATGTACTGTGATGAAATAATTAAACTAAACTAATAGGCACTCAAATACTAAAGTTCTCTCTTCTACAAAACTTAATCTCTTCCTTATCTATTACTGTTCAACAAATTACTTTCTTAACTAACATCTTCCTTTTGAGCTTTGAGCATTTCTTGCACAAACTGTGTCTTTTCTTGCTTCTCTTAATGATCCCAAAGAATTCCTTTTCTTCATAATTTCCTCTAGCCACCAAAACGTGTGTTATTCAGAATCCGTTGCATCAGTAATCTTTTAAAAGACTTATCCTAATTATTATTTTAGAGCCTCGAAAGGTCCTTCCTATCCTGAAGACAGACGAGCCAGTATGTCCAGAAGGGAAGTTATCCTGCGGGAATGGTGAATGTATAGAGAAAGAGCTTTTCTGTAACGACAAGCCCGACTGCAAAGATGAATCTGACGAGAACGCTTGCTGTAAGTCAAACTTTTGATTTATACTCTAACAAAATGTACAAACAGCTAATTAATAAGGTTTAGCAACTGAAGAAGGTACTGATGTGTGTCACATCAGGAAGTATACATTTTATTTATTACAACATGAATATATTTTAATATATTTATAGATACGGAAAGAATCTCATGATTTTTTAAAAGAAAATCCAAACTATAGGCCTAACACTTATCTCAAGCCACGAAAAATATTTGAATTCAAAATTATCCGGGTACAGTAGAAAAGAGGATCTTCTCAGATCACATATCTCGTTACACCCACTGTTAGTTCTACTGTGTTTTGTAAACCAAACATAACGTGACATTTTTGTTCCTGTTGTAACATGTTTTTGTCTGTTCCAGCCGTGGAGACTGATCCTAACAGAGCGCCAGACTGTGACCCGACCCAGTGTGTCTTGCCAGACTGCTTCTGCTCAGCCGACGGAACCAGAATACCAGGAAATATTGAACCAAACCAGGTAAAACAACTTTCACCCAACTTACAAAAAGACAATATTGGCTTGCTTACTTCCGTAGTATCTCGAAAAACAAAACTAGAAATAAAGGATGCTTTGAAATAAGATTTTACAAAAAATTGATCAGGATTGTGATACATTTTAAACAGTTGTTTGTACAAGAGGTAGATGTATACTCAAGTTGTTTAGAAATCCATTATGGGCGATTGATTCGTGTTATTCATTAGGACATAAAATTGTACATATATGAGCTATAAAAAGAGACATTTCTTTATAATTCAAAAGTACATTTTAAACTATAAACAAATTGGTACCTATAGGTAACTTAAATAGGTTACAAAAGTTGGAACAAGGTTACAAAATCCACCCTTTTGCACAATATATCAGACTTTCAGTTCACCCTTTAGTATATTATTATTATGTAATAATTTATTTCAACATTTCAATAAATTAGTAACCTATATTCTTAAAATATTTAGAGATTAAACCCTTCTGTCATTAGAAATCCGTAATTTATAATGTTGTTATTAAAATGGAAATGACGACACAGGGCTACAAGAAAAATCATAAGACTGACTCTTTTACAAGTTAAAAGTGCAATTTAAGAAATTGTAATAAAATCAACTATTTTTAGGTGCCACAAATGATCACAATCACATTCAACGGTGCCATCAACGTAGACAACATCGACCTTTACGAAGAGATCTTTAATGGCCAGAGGCTCAACCCGAATGGTTGCCAAGTCCGCGGAACTTACTTCATGTCCCACAAATACAGCAACTACGCAGCCGTTCAAGAGTTGCACAGGAAGGGCCACGAGATCGCCGTCTTCTCTTTAACTCACAAGGACGATCCGAAATACTGGACTGGAGGATCCTACGACGACTGGCTTGCTGAGATGGCTGGAGGACGTTTGATCATCGAAAGGTTCGCCAACATCACAGACGGATCCATCATTGGAATGCGAGCTCCGTACTTGAGAGTCGGAGGCAACAAACAGTTTGAGATGATGGCTGATCAATACTTTGTTTACGACGCTTCCATCACCGCACCCCTGGGTCGTGTTCCCATCTGGCCTTACACACTGTACTTCCGCATGCCCCACAAGTGCAATGGTAACGCTCAAAACTGCCCGAGCAGAAGCCATCCTATCTGGGAGATGGTGATGAACGAGCTGGACCGCAGAGACGACCCCACCTTTGACGAGAGTCTGCCTGGTTGTCACATGGTTGACTCCTGCTCCAACATCCAGACTGGGGAACAGTTTGCTCGTCTGTTGAGGCACAACTTCAACCGTCACTTCAACACCAACCGAGCCCCTCTGGGTCTGCACTTCCACGCCTCCTGGCTCAAGAGCAAGAAAGAGTTCAAAGAAGAACTTATCAAGTTCATCGAGGAGATGCTGGACAAGAATGAAGTCTACTTTGTGACAATGTTGCAGGTATGTTATTTTACATCTAACAAAGCAACTGCTGTGTCTAACAAAGATCCCAAAGGTACAACACAACCATTTCACTTGATCTATCTGGATGTCAAAATTACTTGTCTGTACATACTCCAAATTATGATACTCTTTTCTCTAATTCTTCCTTTTCTTCTCCGCTTCTTTTTCTTCAGCATTTGAGAAGTTCTGCTTTTAAGAGCCCCTGTCATGACAAATGACTCCTGGATGGTGACATTACCAACCAGACATCCAAGAAGAATACTTTACAATAAATAGTAAAACAGTACCGTAGTAGTTCAAAATACTAGTAGTTTAACGGGTGGGTGGATCAGTCGGTAGCACAACCGATTGTAACACCAAAGCAGCAATGTTTTATGTTTCTGTGTACACCGATAACGTCACTTACAATTATTCAATTCAGTTTATTCTTGCACTCTCAACTATTATCTCAACTTAACCCTATTTGCTAGATACGTTCACAAACAGGCATTTGTGGATGGGAAAGTGCAAGGTTAAAAGATGCAGCAAAGTAGCAAAACTTTGAAAAAATAATCTTATAGTATTAACTAACCGCCTAAATGATGTAACGATGTTAGAAATTGTAGTTTTATTTATTCACCACTATTCATCTATCAACTTATCTATTCAACAAACCCTTTCTGTCTCCAGGTGATCCAGTGGATGCAGAACCCCACAGAGCTCACTTCCCTCAGGGATTTCCAGGAGTGGAAGGAGAAGTGTGATGTGAAGGGACAGCCCTACTGCTCCCTCCCTAACCCCTGCCCTTTGACCACCAGGGAACTTCCCGGACAGACGATACGTCTTTTCACCTGCATGGAGTGCCCCAACAACTACCCCTGGATCCTGGACCCCACTGGGGATGGCTTCTCCGCCAAATAACCTCCAAAGACTGCTTGAGTGATAATGTCGCTGGAGAAAAATCTGCGGCCAAGACTGCACCAGCGACAGACGCTGTACAAATGTTGTATATTTAAGTTGTATTTAATGTGATTTAATTGTTTATGTGTCCATATTTGTATGATTTCGTAAAGTCACCTGATTCCTAAAGTCCGAGCAATAAATGGGTGCACTAAAATGGTTTTGTTTTTAATTCCTGAAGTGTCTTTGCTTGTGACAATTATTGGTAAGAAGGATTTGTAATATTTTTGAATTTCACAAATAAAAGAATTTTCCAAGGTCTGGACTTCAAACAATTTTGAAAAGTAGAAACAACATTTTGTTGCTAAAGGATTCTAGAAGCCTTGAAACATGTATTATCAAGGCCTTGGGTGAATCTCTTGTATCGAAATGATATTTTACCCTATATAGATAGAGTGATTGTGATTATACACTATTAGAATTTTTTATTATTTTGCTAAGGGAACGGTCCAAGCCCACAGGGAAAGCTTTTAGGGAAAGCCATTCAAGTCCATTTTTGTGGATATTCCAAAGATCAGATGGCATTTTAACGCCGACACACCATGATGCTTATATTAAAGCTAAGACGAGTGTTGAATAAATGAGACTATAACTTTGTTACTGACCGAGGTCAGCTGTTTCTCTCGCCATTTATAAGCCCAATGATCAATTGCAGCTGAGTCCAGTTTTGAACAATCAAAAAGCTACAGAACTTTCTCAGGATCAAACCGGCGACATTAAGATCATCAGGCGAGCATTATAACCACTCAGTTGCCCTCAGAACCTTCAGGTAGGTCAGCAAGTTCAAACTCGTCCCTCTCGCACCACTAGGCTGACAACATACACAACCCCAACAATACCCCTTAAAGAGTAAAACAAAACTGCCTAATATTTTAAAAATACATATAAAATGTTATCTTTTTACAATTTTTATGAAAAAAAAAATAAAAAGGCATGATACATTCACAACAGAAAAACTAACAAAAATATCACTTATAGAAAATTAAATAAAACGATAATCTAATAGTTTGTTGAAGGGGAAAGGAAGGTAGTGATTTTATACATTAATTCAGTCTCATTTCTTGATTTTGTAATACCTGAGAACATACAAAATAATTCTAAAACTCTTGCCTATTTACATGATAAACATATCACAATTGTATTGTTACAATTCTTACAGTATTTCAATATCAGTGACAGAATATTTGGTGAGAAATGTTCCAAAATCAACAAAAAGAGAGCCATTTGGCTAAATATTTAGTTCACATATTCATTCAAATTACACATCGGCTATTCGAAAGTCGATTTTGAAAAAAGTTCTAAAACTAAAATTTGAAGACTGGACTCTTTATGGATTTGACGTCCAGTGGGCCTAAGTATTGCAGCTTTAAAAATGGTTTCATACTCTATTCTGGTGTAAAACAATGTTATACACAACATTGAATATTATTTTTTTTTATTCATGACCTAATATCATGTTTTAAATATTTGAGAAAGGAATGGATGCACTACTAACTTACCCAAGATAAGATTTACAGGCAGTAATTAGCACACAAAAGTTCACAACTTCTTCAGAAGGAGGTAGTGGGTCTTCCTTCTGAAGAATCCCGCCTTGCAGGAGCAAATTATAAAATTAATGGTGTTGTGAACTTTTTGTGTGTTATAAACTGCCTAGAACTCTGTTCTAGGGTAAGTTAGTTGTGAATTCATTGCTCCTTCCTGAATTCCTAGGCCAAGTGTTATTTTATAAAATAAAACTGTGGGGTTTTTAATGGATGCATTTAACCACCAACATTAATTATCCTATCAAAGTCTTAAAAAAATACAAAAAAAAAAAAAAATTTAAAATCTGCCAAAATTCCATCACACAACAGAAACACTTTTCACCAAATACCCTCTATAGACTGGCAGTGAACACTTCTGCAATAACTTATGCCACATTCCAGATCGCTTAGAAGTGGCCTGTGACCTGCTCAATCTCTCCAAGGTCGTCAACAATTTCATCGACTTTGGTGCCGATTTTCTTCGCAAGCTCTTGCCGCTCGTTGACGGGAAGACTGAGGTATTGCCAGACTAACTCTCCATCAATCATACCTCGTGCTGGGTTGCCCATCAGTCTACTCCAACTCTTGTACTGCCTGTGAAAATGGAAAAATTGTTGATCGGGTAGGTACAGAGAAATTCCTGTCAATCGCAGAGGGCACAGGATCTTCGTTCACCATGAGCTTTGTAGTACAGGGGGGCAGTGTTGGACTTTGCCCTAGACACCACTTAGTTGTACCATTGAATATTTCCTCTGAACCTTACTTTTTGTGTTAGCATCTACGAGGATTGTCCATGGCATAAATTAAGGTCTCCATCGAGCTCACATCGCAACCAAGCAAGCTAGGTAATTGTGTTTCTTATTTCTTTTCCTACTATTCTAGATGTTTCCCTCCCCACAGACTGGTAACTTGATATTTAAAAATGTGAAAGAAAATTGACGCCTCCACAAACTATAAATCGCCTTCTGTGATTAGATTTTGATAGGTTATCAGTTGAAGGATGTGAACGGAGTAAAGTGTTTGGACGTAGAAAATGTACGGAATGGGTGGAGGGAGTTAGAGCGGGACTTAACATTTGCACGATGGTTTTCATAGTGTAGGCCAACTGCTGTTGTTTATCACTCTCATTTGCTGAAGTTAGGGGAATTTTGTATGCAGATTGTAGTATGATTGAGAGAGATTATCAAACTAAGGGGACGTCTCTTTAATACTATCAAGGGCAGCCCTGGAAGTCTGAAACACACCGATCAAAAAGCAGTTTTTTTTCAAATTCAACCACTGTCACGATGGAAATTGATAATCACGTCCAAACCCGTTGTGCAAATATTTTCTTACATTGCAGACAACTACATTTTTCTCAAACTAATAAAAATGAATGCCGTGCGCCAGGATGTAAAATAACGAACAACAATTTAATCCCAATACTATACTTCACTATACACAAGCTATATTTATACTTTACTTATACTTGAGTAATTGTTAAAACATTCACAACTACAATTTTTTTCTCACAATTATACACTAAAATGAACCAACAGCATCATGGCTGGGTGAGCTCTCTGATATTTAGAATTGTTTGGAATATTAGCCCTAACTGTTTATTTGGAGATCTATAATTTAGAAAATTGAAAATTACAACATGTTAAATGAACTTGGTTGATTGGAAAATAACCGAGGGACTACTTATATCTCAGAAGGTAAGTGCTGCCAGCACGTATGACAGAGGAGAATGATCTTTCCTTCAAGATAAAAAACGAGTCACAAATCCCCCACTCCTAGATTCGCCATGATAAAAATTGCCTTATTTGGTAAATCCTTGAGCATCACACTAAACTGAAAAGTATTTTTACCTGAAGGCCTTTGGGTTTAGACCAGCAGTATTTTGAATATGGTTAACCAAGACGTTCTGAAGCATGAGCAATCGTCTGTACGACTTCTCTGGCACAGGCAACAGGTAGCCTAATGCACCATCCAGAGTTGCTATATGAAACAAGAAAAGAAATAAGAATCAACAGTAAACACCAAATTCTATCTTAAAGGGAAGCCAAGTGGTTGATAAGTAGTTTTAAAGGGAGTTCAGCTATCTTACCTAGGAGTCTTGGTGCTAATAGATACACAGTAAAAGTCTTGACAAACTTACATCGCTACACAAGATTCCACAACAAGCTATCCTAACACGGCATCAATTAAAATCATTTGAATCTTAACTAAATAAAGAAGGAGAACATTTTGTAAACTTTTTGTTTAAAAATCATAGAATTCACACCATTTTTTGATTATGCATTAACAAAATTCTAAATTGGATACCCGGCACTAAAGGACATTTGGCATATGAAGTAAAATTTACACATAGAACCCCTCGCTGTAATTACAATACAAGCAATATATAAATATTTCAGATTACCCCATCACAAAACACTTTTTCATGAAAAATCTAACCATCAAGATTTTTTATTCTTGGAGTGCTTCCAACAACACGGATAGTTGGGAGTTTGACTATAGATGGGATGTTTACTCCAGTATTCTGGTCCAAAGAAACCAAGTAGCTAAAGCAGCGGCTACACTTGCCCGATTCGGTCCGGTCCGGTTCGGTTCGGTCCGGCACGAATTTGGGAGGGGTGGCTACACTTGTACGAATCGTTTCGGTCCGGCCGGAAGAGGTAGCTAAACTTGTACAATATTTTGGAGGACACACACGAGCACGGGGCACAAGTGCAGCAATACAGAAGGTGTTTAGCTAGGGCCAATTTACCGAATAGGCACGTGCCTAGGGCGCGAGGCAATTGGCTTTTTTGGGGGGTGCCAAAAAATGAAAAATTAAAAAATGGTGGTTGTATTTGCATGCAATCGCGGTAAACTTCCTATAATCCGTCGCGGCCGTGTGGACATTGTAATCGTCTCCCGATATTGTAACAAAATTCTGACTATTTTCCGCGGTCGTGAGACATAATTATCGTCTTCCATGATCGAGGCAATATATGAATATTATTGCCTAAATTCTTAGGCCTATGTCCTAGAAATAACTATTTTTCCTAATTTGATTCATCACTTTCATAGCCGAGCGCTCACGGAACCCCCCGATCCTCATCCGAATTTCGGGAGTAGGTGGCTACACTTGTCCGATTCGGTCCGGTCCGCCCCGAATGCTTCCGCCAAAATGCGGATGAATGCTCCCTGGACGATTGTTCCGCGCCGAACCGGACCGTACCGAACCGAATCGGGTAAGTGTAGCCACCTCCATTTAAAAACATGGGAAGCATTGTTCCGCATTTTTGAGGACCGGACCGAACCGGACCGAATCGGGCAAGTGTAGCCGCTGCTTAAGATAACCTACCAAACATAGTTATGTGTCTCTTTTCCGCTCCAAGTTGATGTCTTCTCTCCACCATTCCGTCCTCCACCTTACACTTGATCCTGAAGAATGTGTTGATGTGTTGGCCCAAGTGAAAGTCAGCTTTCCTGATCAGTCTTTGACCTGCAGCACAATTCGGTCATCATTTGATAATTTGGGTTGGATTTGTGTAAAATTTCTGACTGGGCCTCTGTGATCAAACCAGCATCTATCTTGTAGTATTCTGTTTACTTGCGGTAATTGTTAAGATGAAAAAATTTGAAGTCAAGCTAATTTATGTAAACTGTTGTTAGTATTTACAGTTGCTATATATATATTTTTTTTTAAGCAAATTGAAATGGCTAGATAAATATTGTGAAATGTCAAATTTTCAATCCACTGAGATACGAGAAAAGATGTGGATTTGATTTTCGGTTGGCTGGATGTCAGGCTCAAATCACAGATATAGGTAATCTAATTTCCTTCAACAAAAGGAACCCAAGAATTTCAAGAGTCCAGTAAAGAAAACAGAATCTGAAGAATCTATGGTATGAAATATGGAATCTGTGGTCTGAAAATCTGTGGTTTTCGGTGGGATTCTAAATAACTTCCAGGGGAGATTTTTTTACGGGAATCTTGTGGATGTTTTTGTGATTTTGAAAAGATCACAGATATTACACATTAACATCATGTTATTTGAACTCAAACAAAAGTACTGTCTCATTTTTACTAGATCAGACAATAGTATACTCTACAAAGCAGAGTGGATATAAAACAATAATACTCTTCTCACCTCCATAGCTTTCCCTCGCCTGGGGCTGATACATGTACAACACAACGTTCTTCTCTCTATCTGATACAAGGAAGCCGAGCTGGGCGTTGTCTATGAGGAACTCCACGTTGTACACCTCACACGCTCGGAAATCTCTACTGACCAGCGACAGAGTGCGGTACTCCTCTTGGAACCTACAAAACATATATCACTTATTGACACCGATGCACTTTGAGCTTGTATTTTATGCTGAATATGGATGCAGAATGACTGTAGACTGGAGTGAGATCACGTGTGTAGTTTGTTACAAGGATCAGCTGTTTATGTAATCAGGACCAAGGACAGTAATGTTTAATGTACATGCAATATAAGGTAGATTAACTCATCTTTAGGAACCAGATGAACCAGAAGGCTAGAGAGAGTTAGAGAGATGTTGTACATTTGGCATTATAACAACCTATCAATGTTTTCAATGGTCGTTTTACGTTTTTTTCTTTCTCTTTATTTGTTGGAATAAATTGTTTTAAATCCTATTTCGATAGAATGACAAAAAAGACATTGTTAAAAATTTGTCAATACATTGAAAAGTTGCTTGTCATTATTTAGTTCTGACTTGTTTGTAAATTTGAAGTACTAACCTGAGCAGTGTGATGGATTTGTAAACATCAGCCACCAATATAAGACTCTTGATACACAGGATCTGATGGATATAAATCTGAGTGTCGATAAACGCAACTCCCACTAGATCATTGTCCTTCAGCTGCCATATGTAGATCTGTGAACAATACAAACATGAAGAAGAAACTGATTGTCAACAGTGCAACAATAAACATTGCAATCCCTTGTTGAAAGCACAAACATGATAACTCTATTGGCTTGACGATGGTATAGAATAGAATATCAACATTAAACTGGTACTGGACAATACATGAACAATGCATTGGCTTGTCAATGCTACTGGTCAACACATGAACATTGCATTGGTTAGTGAATAGCCTAGACATAAACATCGCTTCGGTTTGTAAATTGTATACAAATACCTCTGAGTGTAATTTAACGATGTAAACCTAACCTAGTGTTTGATCGTTTGTGTTCATTATCTGAACTATTTGAAACTTTGTTTACCTATGGTTCAGTTTGGATTTAACTGCAGTACAAACAAAAACATTCAAACCTACATAGGTTGTCAACAACTCAAACATGAATATCACGTGGTTCTAGGCGTTTACAAACCCTATTACATAGTTTTAAGATTGTTGTTAGACTGACAAGTGGTTTGGTTTACCTTTTGCCCGACTGCTGATACCAGGAAGCCCAGTGCATGAGTCATGGCAGTAACTGGTCCCTTCTGCTCCTTAGCGTACAACATCTTGAACCGGTTCTTCGTGAGAGGCTGACCCGGCTCCGGCACAACCTCGATGATGTCAAATATCAGGATCTGGAAAAAGAATGTATGGACCCAGTCATAGTACTTATTGATAGCTTTGACTAAAGTCAATGGTAATAGTTCAGAGCAATTAATAAAAAATAGCCCCGCTGCAGCAAACCTGCAGACTAAGCAAATTTTCATTTGCCTGAATTGATTTTCAATTAAATCCATCAAAACCAACAAACCTGGAGCTCAAATCAAACTTTGAGAGAGAGTAAAAAGTTGGCTTTCCCATTGGATGTTAAAGTTTAGGTCTAATTGCACTGTAGGCTACTATAATAAAAAATTATAATTCCAGGTATACACTCACCCTCCCCCTGCTGGTGATGTCCTCGCTGTAGTTGTAGTTAGTCCCGAGAGCTATGTAGCCCTTGAGTCCACTGCGAGTTCCTTCGTACGCTAGACTCACGTTCTTCAGACAAGTCACATGTTCCCAGTCCTCCAGCTCCATCTTGGTGTTGGGAATAATCTGAAACAAGAATATGTACAATTATACCTCTGACCTCCTACAACAGCTGATAAGAACAAGAATAAGAAATATTTATTTCCATTGATCTTTATTAAAGAAATAGGACACGTCATTTGTTATACATAGTTACAAGGTGATTCAGTGCTTACAGTACAAAATCTAAAATTTAAATAGCTACATGAAAACGAAAGCTTTATTTTAACTTACTCTTCAAAATCTAATATTTATTTCACATCTTATATATAATCATCGATTTTGTAAAAAGGATTTTTAGCCTTACAGTCATACAGTTTATTTTTTAAATAAAAAACCAATTTTGCTTCTTCAGGCAGCTTATTAAAAAAAATTTTTAAATTTAATTTGCCCTATATGAATTTTCGGTTTTTGCCAATTTTTTCTGCAACTATCCTAATATTACCAATTAAATAAAAAATATCTTACTTACTTCCCAAGAGACGGGGGAAAACAGCAATACACTAAATCTTTCTTGAACAGGCAGTGGAAACCTGTCGTCTCTTTCTTCTATTGACAGTTCCTAAAAAAAAAAAAAAACAGTAATATAAAGGATCAAATATTTTTTTTTTATTCTGCGTAATTTAGAAACACATACAATGGTTTGAATGGTTTAACCCAATGGGTCAATCCATTTCAAATCATCCAGCAAAAAAAGAAAATGACACCCATGTTCTCAGATTCTAATGATTTTTTTTTCATGTGTTCCTTTTGCTATTCTAATTATGAATACCAAATTTCATTTTGATATCTTGAATACTTTTTTAGTTATGAATTTTCAAAAATTGCTAAAAAATAGCGTTTTCCCGTTTCTGCCGACTATTGGGAGTACGAAATTGTTTTGGTAAATAAATCATTACTCAGTCAGTATTTATCATATCACAATGGGACTTTCACTAAAATGTTCAGAAAATCTTGTAGAATTAAGGAAAAATATGTTTATGGGGGTGGTCATTTTATGTTCCAGTCAGTAATCCATCCAACTTTAATTTTGGTCTTATCTTTAGCAAAAAACACAAAATTTTGAAAAATTTGTGAAAATTATAGGCACTATGTAAACCAAAGGTGTTTTATCATATTTATGTTCCTAAGGACATATACTAACAGGTTATTAAAGAAAAACACTGGGATTTTCACTGCTTTTTAATTTATAACTCATTAAACAGAAAAATATAATTTTCATAAAAAAGGCAGAGTGCGGACAGTTAAACCTGTACTAAGAATCAATAGCTACTTCAGAAAGTGGTATTAAAAAAATTATCAAGACCCATTTATAATAAAGTAGAATTATAATTTTGAAAGGCAATAAAACTGAAGTTTAAAAGCACTGACCCAAATTGGTAGGCCTACAATGTCAAGCTTAGTACAGGGTGGGGCAGGGAAGTATCCCTAATTTTAAAGGTAAATTAAAAGACAACCAAAAATGTTAGAGCCAAACTTTTTATTGAGATTAAAAGGTTACATCTGGGAGTTTATTTTAATATAACTTTACTTGGTTTTAAATAGCATATCCTGCAAGTTGTGTCCCTAATCTTAAATGCATTACTGTATTCTGGTTCTGGAGTTCATTATAACTTTGTGAAGCATTTGTTGTGGAAAGAGGCAACATTCTAGGTGAATTGCATCCTTCAAGGCATCTAGGGTCTTCCCTTGAACTACCCTAGGCTTAGCATCACTCCAATAGAGCACATTCTGCTTATTTACCCGCTCCAGGAATATGGAAGTGTGCCTCGACACTAAACAAAACCCGAGCAGCATGAGGTAGTCCCGCAATTAAGATTTCACATGCATGCATTCGTTGTTGCCAGTCCCTTTGTGTGAGTTCATGAGCAACTACCCTCTTGTATAGATGGAGGTGTAAGTCCTCATGGAGAATACGAGGCACAGTACGATTAGACAACGCCAGCGCGGATGCATGCTTACAAGCAGAACTTTGAGGAGACTGCAAAATCGATCTTCTGACAAGGTCAATGTTTTCAGGACTCCGGACCGTTCTTTGAGCTCCAAATATCCTTCGCAATACACCACCACATACACGAAAGTAATTCACCCACACCAAATTGTAACAGCTTTGCGACAGGCCACCCGATAACCCGACAGCCAATGGTAGCTGCACAGCAACAATAGACAGATTTTTGAAAAAAATACATCTCGAGTGCAAAAGCACATTGGTCACTCGAACAAGCCATATCTACTACTAAACTACCATAGTGATATTTTTAGAAATTCCCAATACAAAAGCTTCATTTGAGCCTAACCCCACTCCTCCAGCACACCCCCACTACTCACAGTACCATCTTAAAAGTAGGGATATTTCCCTGCCCCACCCTGTACAAAAAAGACGCTTGAAAAAATATATGTAGCCTACAGTATTAAGAAAATATGAAAATTTCTTACCACTAATCCTTAATGAATACAATTTTTGGAGATACTCAATCTGCTTTTTACATGAAGCACTTAATTTTGTACTTGGTTTTTTGTCAACATGTTTTGGCACTGTTTTTCAATTAAATCCATTTCTTTTTTCGGGAAATAATACATTTCTAAAGTCAGGTTGGGTAGCAGGAAAATATTTCAGTTCTGGCAGAGAGGCTGCAATTTTAGGTGGTTATAGTAGTCAATGATACAAGTTTCTGAACCTAAAACCGCCCAGGCCCCAATTTTTAAGGACCTCGGTCGTCCGTAATGACGTCATCAAAATGGCGGCCGTAAGAGGATGCTGGGTCCCCATGAATTGGCTATAACGACCGAATGTCTTAACCGATTTTCATGAAATTTGGCACACAAGTGCTTGAATACATTATCTCGGCCTGGGTTGAAAATGGTCAAGTTTCATCAAGTTATTTCAAAATGGCGGCTGTTCAAAACTAAAAAAATTATGAGGAAAATAATTGTGAATTGTTTTATACAGGGCGAGTTTTAAATGAGTCCCCCCCCCCCCTACTTTTTTATACATTTCTTAAGATATCAACTCCGAACCACGTCAGATCATTGTAGAGTAGCAAGTGCTTCATTTTGACTGGGTTTAAATTTTTGGCCGCCATCTTGGATCCGCCATATTGGATACAAAGTTATTTTTTCAAATGTAAAGGTAGGGTTGTGACCCACCGTTTCAAACAAGACTTTTACGCTGAATACGATGCTGCAATTCGTTTAAAAAAATGTTGATCCATTCTAAAGTAATGAGAACTTTTTATAAATTTATTTATAGTCCATTATAACATTGTGCATTTACAAACTAAGGTCATAATCTAAAAATAGTGCTAGATAAAGATAAGTGGACACCACCATTCATTGTTGACCTATTTTCACTCGGTTATGGGATGTATTTTTTTCAGCCACCATCTTGGATCCGCCATTTTGAAATGTGATCAATTATTTTATAAGTTTTTTGTTATCAAGCTTTCTTGATAAAATATTACAATTATTTTGATTTAAAATGTCAATATTTCAAAAACCAAATATGACAATGAAAAACGGATTGCGGCATTGAATTCAGCATAAAAAAGTAGTTTAAAATGATGGGTCACAACACCACCTTCATATTTAAAATAATTAATTAAAAATAATAATAAGGTCTGGGCGGTTTTAGATTCAGAAACTTGTATACTATAACCACCTAAAATAACAGCCTCTCTGCCAGAACTGAAATATTTTCCTGCGACCCAACCTGACTAAATGTATTATTTCCCGAAAAAAAGAAATGGATTTAATTGAAAAACAGTGCCAAAACATGTTGACAAAAAACCAAGTACAAAATTAAGTGCTTCATGTAAAAAGCAGATTGAGTATCTCCAAAAATTGTATTCATTAAGGATTAGTGGTAAGAAGTTTTCATATTTTCTTAATACTGTACATATTTTTTCAAGCGTCTTTTTTGTACTAAGCTTGACATTATAGGCCTACCAATTTGGGTCAGTGCTTTTAAACTTCAGTTTTATTGCCTTTCAAAATTATAATTCTACTTTATTATAAATGGGTCTTGATAATTTGTTTAATAACACTTTCTGAAGTAGCTATTGATTCTTAGTACAGGTTTAACTGTCCGCACTCTGCCTTTTTTATGAAAATTATATTTTTCTGTTTATTGAGGTACAAACTAAAAGGCAGTGAAAATCCCAGTGTTTTTCTTTAAGAACCTGTTAGTATATGTCCTTAGGAATATAAATATGATAAAACACCTTTGGTTTACATAGTGCCTATAATTTTCATCAATTTTTCAAAATTTTGTGTTTTTTGCTAAAGATTAGACCAAAATTAAAGTTGGATGGATTACTGACTGGAACATAAAATAACCACCCCCATAAACATATTTTTCCTTAATTCTACAAGATTTTCTGAACATTTTAGTGAAAGTCCCATTGTGATATGATAAATACTGACTGAGTAATGATTTTTTTACCAAAACAATTTCGTACTCCCAATAATCGGCGGAAACGGGAAAACGCTTATTTTTAGCAATTTTTGAAAATTCATAACTAAAAAAGTATTCAAGATATCAAAATGAAATTTGGTATTCATAATTAGAATAGCAAAAGGAACACATGAAAAAAAATCATTAGAATCTGAGAACATGGGTGTCATGCCCTGGATGACTTGATATGGACAATGGCAAAGATTTAATTTATTTTTCATTGTAATATTTCCTGAAACTGCAATTTTTACAAAAGCACATTTTACAATACATGTCTGCTAATTCAATAGTAACAATTAATTAAGAGTCCTTGAAGGCTAGCAACCATCTTGGATAGTTTAAAACAGCTGCTGAAGAGTTATTTATCGTCCGAAAATATTTTTTCAAACACTAAAGTGATTATAATTTAAATATCTAATATCTAGTATAGTGTGAAGAAATGTTCTTTGTTGTTGTCAATTGGTCTCCAAGGGAGTCTATGGAAGCTAACGGCCATCTTGGATTTGTCCGCCATGAAAGCAAATGTTAATTTTATTAATTTCAAACAGCCGCTGAAGAGTTATTTACCATCTCAAAATATTTGTTCAAACACCAGAGTGATTGTAATTTAAATATCTAGTATACTGTGAGATTAGACATTCCCTTTGTATTTCTTTAATTGTTTTTCGAGTTTGAACATCTAGGCTCCAAGAACTCTTAAGAAGTTAAATGTTTTGACAAAACAGCACTGTCAAACGCCTCAGTCCAGGGTCGCTTAAATACCTTAAATCCGCTTTTTGAGTGGCATAAATACAGCACACAGAAATAAAGACTTTAGATACAACAGGCCTGACATTGGTGAGCAGGTACAGACTCAAAGCCCATCAACGAAGCTACTCAAGCTCCCCCAAATGTCATCCCCCAAGATTCCGCAACAGGTTTTTTTTTATTTTTTATTATTATCTACACCACAGGAAGGTGATGCAGACACTTTTAAGGGAAAGCGGCCAAACCCATAAATGTTTCCTAATTAAACCGGGAATCAAACCAGTTTCTCGCTCTGAAGGCCGAAACAATGACCACTAAGCTAACAAAACACACCAATTGTATTGTAAAATCCATAAATTAGACTATATTTTTATTTTTACATTTCAAATTGACTCAAAAATATTTTGCCCATACACATGGCAATTTAATCAGAGTATTTCTTCGACCACTCTTATTTCCTGATTAAAATTGTATCTAATGTTATTTTAGTAGTTGTTTCAAATAGACAGATACCAAAATAAGTGTTTGAATGCATTACAACAGATTTGTTTCAACATTTACTTTAAAGTGAAAAATTCTAAAAGTAATACATTCCAAACAGATTTTTATGAGGCTTTTCCGCTTACTTTATCTTCTCCGTTAAACTTATAGTACTGGTTGGTGGTTTCAGCTGTACTGGTGACCAAACAGTAGGTTTTACTCTCCAGATGGTAAGTGATGAAATGAGGTGTGCAACGTAGCGGCACCTTCCGGACAGGCCAGGACGCGTCGTAGGACAAGTGAGTCGGCAACACGCAGATACGCAATTCACCCTGCAAAACAGAACCAGGTTAACCAATATACAGTAGTTTATTGATGGACAGAATATCAACCAGTTGTTATACATACAAAATTCTTTTCATATTCGTGACTTTTTGAAATGGGAAAAAATTTCTTGAATTTCAATAACTAGCGTATCAGTTGATCACTGAGTAGGCCTACATTATAAGAGCAAAAACGCACTTTACACTTGAATTTTTTGACATAATACACAATTTAGAAGTAATGTCTCATTTCCATTTATCCTTTGGATTTTGGAGTTAGTAGAAATAAAATTACTTTATTCAACGAGTTTATTTTCCGGCTCTGATAAAAACCTGTAACTTTGAAACTTTGTATTGAATTGGCTGTTGACTATGTTACAAATTATTTTTTTTAACAGTTAAGTACACTTAATCGTCAAGATCTGTTACCTTCTGATTGAAATACAGAAAGCCCTGAGGACAGTTGACGTTGTTGAAGGGAGCAAAGCAAGTGACTCCGCCATCGATAGTCATGGGGTGGATCCGCAACTCACCCCTGTATGTGAGGAATATCCAGTGAGGGTGATTTCCACACACAAACACCTGCAGAGCAGATACAAAATATTTTTATTGTTGAAAATTCACGTTTTACATTTAAGAGGGGTCCAAACAAACCCCCAAAACTCCCCCTGGATACGCCACTGAGGATAAGACTATGAATGGCACTATGGCAGCAATGTTATGTTGACTACTGTTAACAAAGTGTACTTTGTACTTTAAACTTTACTACTAAAATTGTTTGTCTTTGTTTACTAGTTTGTAACTGATATACATTGTTTCAGTATTTATCATCGGAAAGTAAATAAAGATACGTCTTATAACACTTAAAACATATATTTACGCTTATACTGGATATTTATCATGTAATGTCAAATCTAAATATAAAAAATTCCTTGATGTAACAATGCTAATCCAGTTGAACTGACCATAAAATCAATTGCCATTTGCAATATTTACCACTACATAACAAGAAACGTAAGATTGTGGTTGGTTAAGAAAGTTGAAATAGCGGTTGGCACAATTTTGTTTAAAAACATGAATATAACATATTCTAATTTTTTTGTGTAAACAGTGTAAAGTTTTGTTTTTCTTTTGCCAGTTTGGACTCTTTCCCATTTAGGTTTTCATTTGGTTCAGGAGGTCTGCTATCCTCTAAAAAATTCCTTAAAACCTAGGCCCTTGTGCTCTATGTTACATCCTTAAATTTTAATAAACGCTGATTTAAAGAATGTATTTCTATTTTTACAAGTTTTTCAATTAAAATCTTACACAACAAAATAAAACTCTTTGTAACAAACTTCTTTAACAAAAGTAGGCCTATAACAAAAGAGCATTAATTTGAAAATCAATCTGGTCTTATCCTGATCAAACTCTGTCAGTTAATACTGTTAGAAAAATATATGTGTGGTATTTTATTAGTGTTCTAAAATAGTTTCTTTCTGGTATTTTAATTTGATTCAATACTTACTCCGTTGTAACCAGCAATGTTGCCGAAGTATCTCAATTGATTTACTCGAGGGCCCGAGCCAGGTCTACCCCTGTAAAAAAATGAAATTATGATTATCAAATAGTCTATTATGTTTATAAAACATGTAAATATGTATAATAATTAATCATAATATTTATTTTTTCTATGAGTACATGGCACACAGTAAAAATCAGTGTTAGTTCTGAACACGGTACTGTGAGAAATAATTATATTCAAAAATATTTACCATTGAAGGTCAGCCTAATTTGTCAGGTAATCTCTACTGTTCTATTGTAATAGGCTACTAATTAGTTTGTTTAAAAAAAAGGGGGTCCCATAAGTCAGAATCTCAAAACAATAATGACCTTTGTTTTTTCTGCTCTTCGTTGAGTCGAAGTAGAATGCTCTGCTGTATTCTTTTGAACCTCATCTTGAGGTGGCCCTTGGGATAACGGTACGCCTCATACAGCAGAACTTGGTCGTCTAGTCGTAAGATCAGTAGAGGACGAGAACTCATGTTGCCCAGGGGCGCCACTAGCAGCTCACGGACTTGGTACTCACCTGAACAGCCAACAAAAACGATAAGATAACCTTCAATAAACTAAGGTATGGCCATTCAATATCACTTGCAATTATGGCTAAATTGTTAAATTTTTAATGAGCATTTTTAAAGACGATTTTCTGCTACCTTGGCCACAAATGATCTCAAATCTCTAATAAAAATTACCAAGCCAGGCCAAAAAGTTTTTCCCAGCCTCTAGTCAACTGTTAGCCCGGACCCGCAAAACCCTTTTGGTAAGTAAACCAAACAAAAGACTTACCATGGTCATGAGTGGCACCAGAGCTCTGCGCCACAGTAGGAATGGCACCCAGACTGTCACACAACACTCTCAGCCCAGTACCTATCCCTGCCACCAGGTAGCTGAGTAGCAGATCAGGTACAGAATACATCTCTAGATGTCCATTCTCTCTAGTCACTATCAGCCAATATGTGGCCTTCACCTCCATGTAGTACTTACTCCACCTGGCAGAGAGACGAAGGTATTAGTGGTACAGTAAGCAATATGATGCAGTACAGCCATTATTGTGCCTAAGAGATACAGTGTAGACTTACCAAGGTGCAGCTTTGCCAGCCATCTTGGCAGGGCCAGCCCTCTCTGCGGCTCCCGGCTCTCCATACAACAACTCATCCTCATCATCAACCTCTCTGGAACAAAACAACAGAAACTAAATGTCCCATTATTTATTATTTCAGTGTAACCAGTCAGGACAAAAAATGTTATGCATGACCAATTGAGAAAGAATGGTTTACAATGCCACCAATACTTATAAGTGGTGACACTCAAGATTAATTCAATTGTATTAGGTTAATCAAGTTAAAAAAATAATTAGTCACTGTTATTGCAAAACTTTTATGTAAAATGTCACTCGAAGAAATAAACAGGAAACCAGACTTTTGTATAAGCCAGTACGTCAAATTAAAAATAAATTAGATGGACAAGTCACAAAATTTTAGGAAATTTTTGTTAAAAATATCTTGATCTTTGTGCGGGATTACATTTTGGGATTTTCTGAATGCGAAATTTGTTCAAACTGTCAGCGATACAATTTTACAAAAATCACCAGTGAATGATGATAATGTCTCCATGATCACAGGAAATGTTCACGAATTTGTCACTCTAGCCGATAATGACGTCGCCGCAATTACAGGAGATGCTCACAATTTCGCAGATATGACAGGTTACGATGATGAGGTTTCTTTGATCGTGGGAGGTAGTAACAATTGTGCCTATCACAGTCATGATGAAACTGGATATGATAAATAGAGATTTTAAAAATTTGTTTGTTTCTACCTATATATTTTTACCAAAACAGTAGCTGTTTTAATGGAACAATGCAATTAAGACATTGAATTGATCTTGTTTCCTATTATTGGCTTTTCATGAGCTTCTATTAATTTATTTTTTGTACCGTAAACTTTTTGCACAAGGAGAAAAAATTACTGTTTCGTTCCCACCTTGAAAATCAGGAAGAAAATAACAGTTCCACCCCAAACTCAAAGTACAATCCTGTCCACCCCAACAAAAATTGCGGGATCTGATTTTGGATAGGTACCGAGTACCGACAGTGATCTTATGAGTGTCAAACACAATAAGCGCAAATAGAAGGAGAGAACGTTATCAACCCAACTATGTCTTACCTTTTCACATTTCCTCGCGCTGACTGCTGTTCAGGGTCCAAGTGTAAATCAGTTTCGGGGAGCAAGGAGGAAAACATCCCTGACACATCACGGTAAGCGTGCATCGCTGTTATGTGCGGTTTCTGCAAATAACACTTTCAGATTAGTGCAATGAAAACAGTTTTGTTGAAATATTTTACTTCAGCAAATTTTATAAAATACTTTAATTGAATGAATTGTTTAAAATTAAAAGCACATAAACAACAGCACTTCAGTATCACTTAAGATTTTCTTATTGCACCAGAGATATGGATAATAAATTATCATGTCATGACACAGTGACACAATGTCATGTTTTTTATGCTGAATTTTAGTTAAGACCAAATTTTTCTCAAGCCAGAGCTATTTTTGTATAAACCCATTTTGTCATAGTGCAACTGCCTTTTCTCAAGATTGACACTCTCAACTGTATTAATTGTGCAGTGTAATTTCAATGTTAAACATACCGAGTTGATGATGTCCTGCTTGGCGATGAGTCGAGCGGAGGACTTAGTCTCTCGCAGTGTCAGACCCACCACCTGTCCGTCCTCCGTTAGCAGGAACACATAAGGATCTACGGAGGTAGCGTGGACCAACGGAGATCCCAGGTCTAGCGGCATGTGTTGTATCTGCTCCGACCCTTGGAGTAGTCTTACACCCATCTGAGAAACCTGGCAACAAGGAATGTTCATGTGAAAAACTCTTCTCTAATATATTAGACTGAGGAAACACAATTTATAACATTGTCTTGGTATTTTTGAGGTTATGTAACATAATTTAAGAGGCAGCTATTGACCACGGTTGATCGAGGTTCTACTGTATATCTCTAGATAATAAAGAGGATTGTACACTCGGTTTTCAAAATATAAACTGTCTATAACTATGTCTCATACAATAGCAGCAAAAGTGGATTTAAAATTTATATTGTTCTTACCTGGATGATATATTTGTTAGAGCCGAGATTTCCAGCATAAATTGTTGGGCCCTGGGTGTTGAAACCTGAACTGTCCATTTCATTGATTTCTTGACCAGTTTGGAGAATCTAAACAAGAATAATATTTCATTTGCAAGAGTAATGAATAAAATTATGCCTCTATTTACATGGTGGCAGAACATTGTACGGTGTTTTGTTAAAATAATTGGTAATGAATATATTCTGCAATAGTTTGTAACCACAATATCATTCTTTTCTTTCACATTCTATTCTAATGTAGTATTTGGCAGCACTCTTTTCAATTATTGCTCAATTTTGACCTGTACCAACTGTATTTCCCTTTGTTAAATTTTTGCTATGACTTTTAATAACTTAAAATTTGTAAACTTAAGGATACAATTTTTAAATTTCAGTGAATTCTCCTATCAGGAATTAGCTATTCCTAGGTGGCATGGCAAGTCCTAGACCCAAGACAAATTTACTTTTTAATTTTGATGTCCCCAGAGGCCAAAACACTATTATGTTAAATTGTATAAAATATTATGTAAATATATACTAAGGGCGTTTTAAGTAAGGGCCGTTAATGTATACCGTATAGCTCTGTAGTTTGTGAGTATTCCACAATGATACGCCATGCTGCATACTGGCATCATTGATTTGTGAACAGAATCACGCCATTTATAACTCTGTAGCTCACAAGTACGCTGAGATATTAAAATTTTTTTTACTATTCAATCCTCCGCTGCATGTGAGATAAGGCGAGGGATAATTTTTTTAACACATAAAACATATTTGATGCATACATTCAAACATTTAATGCAATGAGTAGGTGCGGAAATGGGTTAGGGAGTTTAATAACGGTCATGAAAATCTCCATGCAGAACGCTCGGACCGGCCTTTAAAATTTACTTAAATGTTGATTGAAAACTGGTTTGGCTTTTACATTGACAGGTAGGATTGAAACTCAGGGTGAAGATGGTTTTATGATTAGAATGCAGGATTTTGTCAGCATTCGCTATCACCAAAGGCATTTAGTGACAAGATAAGTTATGATAAGGTCCCACCTTAAGCTGTTTGGCAAAAAGAACTCACTCTGCATAGTCCATTAAAGGCCATACAAACTTTCATTACTCTGATTGAAATATGCCTAGCAGTTTAACTGACTTTTTTGATACATTGATGAATTGTCAGAGGGTTTCTTACCATGGATGATTCAGCTTGGCTCAGAATAAGGAAGGCATGGATAGGATCTTGGGACTCATCCTGTATTGTATCCCTCCCTGCCACGATCCACATGTCTGTGATGCCAGTCAGCTCAAATGTGGTAACAACCTGGAAAAGTTAACATCAACCTAAGTTTACATACAGTGCACTCACTCACAGATTTATTTCACATTCAAACTGATGCTTCAAACATCAGATGGTTAGGACCAAGAGCGCTTACAAAGTCGTAGAAAATTTTTTCAAGTGGAAAACTGATATCTTGTTTACAAGAAAAAGGTCTTCCCTGCAAACATTTAACCAGCTGAGATTCTACCAAAATATTCACAATACCGGTAATCTTAATTGTCTTTAGAATCTTGGCATAGAATTTTAAACCGAACTAAAAGTTTACCGGTTATTACAGGTTATCCAGGGTTTCATCAAAATAAAATGAGTGTAGGAGTTTTGCCAACGGGTATCAGGTAGAAAGGGTCCCCATCCATGAATTCCACATACTGCGGAGTCTTGCCAACGGTTGTGGGTTGCGCGAGAGGGGGAGGAGGGAGAGAGATTACACGTGACCGTGAGGGTGGCTTCCGCTAGGGGTGGACAAACCAGGCAAGATGCTGACTGTGTTCAAAGTAATGGAGTTATGCACTTCTGACTGTGAAAGGATATGTATTGAATTTTTAACCTAACCTAACCCACTGCGACAAGCGCATAACTGCCAAGCGTAGACAACCCTGACAATCGCTCTCCTTCCCTCCGTCACACTCTTTCTCCCACCACCACCGTTGGCAAATCTCCGCACCAAGAGGTGGCCGAAGGCATCCCCCCCATCTACCTGACACCCGTTGGCAAAACTCCGGTTCCCAAATAAAATTCAAGGACAATTCCAGGTTTAAAAACCTAAATTTTCAGGACAAAACTTGCCAATAATAAAAGCGAAACTTACTTGTTAAATACCTGCTAGTATGTTAAAACCCTTTATGCAAGTTTTGTGATAATTTCTAATAATCACAGCCACATGTTTTTTTTTTATATCTTTCGATCGCAGCATAATTTGTCATTTATTTCCTGCGATTGTGGCAACATCCATGATGTTATTGTGCAATTGGGGTAACATTAGTGATGATTTTCTGCGATCAAAGCAACACTCTCTATTTCTCGCGATGTCAGACATTTGTGAACATATTTTGAATCCCGCAAAATTTGTGATGATTTCCGGCAATAGCAGCATTTTTGTGATCATTACTTGCGAACACAGAAAAATCTATGATAATTTCTCATGATCACGGCAACACACATGATAATGTCTTTTGATCGCGGAAAGAATATTTTTCACAATCACCACAATACTGCGTGATAATATACCTCAATCATGACAGCTCTCTGATTTCACACGGTCTGGCCTAAAAATGTCCTCAGTAAAAATCCTAAGAAATACAATCAATTTACAATATTAATTTACCATACTACTTCCTTTTTAAGAAGCTAACTTGAAGATGCACTGATTGTGTTGTGAACTTTTTGAGTGTTGTCAACTGGCTGGAACTCCTTACCTGGGTCCCATTCACTTATCCGTTCATTCGTTCTTTAAGCAGGCCTATTCCTAAGCCAAGCGCTCTTTCTTTCAAAAACTAACCATCCCATAGGCCTAAAAGTTAATTTGTTTCAAAAAATACTCTTCATCAATTTACTTTAATAAACCTATCACTGGCAATCAGTATATTCAAAAAGATTACCGGCACAGGCACATTTCACTCTACAAGAACTGACCTGTGGTCTCACAGAACGCTGCAGCACACACAGAGCACCATTCTTGCCGTAACCGGAAGTAGTTACAAGCTCCACATCAGGATCTGTGTTGTTAGAGAACTCCTCGGACAGGAAGGCCGGCTCTCCCATCGACACATTACCACAAGGACCGATGTTCAACAGACTGTCACAAACCTAGGAGAGAATGTAAATGAGTTGTGAGATCAAATACCGGGTAGAATAATCCAGGTCATTCTAAACACAAAATATGTGAATAATGTACTGTGAATTAGTTTTTTGTTGTGAAAAATTTACTACTTTTTGTTTCACTTTTTGAACTCTAGACAATTCTATTAATGTTTTATCATATTTAATTAATCTTCTGTGGCCAAACACAGCATGAGTAAGTTAAAATACAAAAAAAAACTACAAGGACAAAAATGTTAGTGTGTTTGAACCAAGACTATGCAGTAACACAAACCTCAAACGAGTATGAGGTCAATTGTATAGAAGTCTGAGTTTCACTGCCATACACTTCTAGCTCATCAAGATCTCGAATGTCTGCTACGTCGGAGGCCATCCAATCACCTGAAGAGGAAATTAAATTAATAATACTAAACATTGATGGTATCCTCGTATTTATAGTAATAATAGTGAGAATGATTTCAAATGGTTTTGTGAGAGGATTTTAATCCTAATTGAAAGACAGGAATCAATTCATCATTTACAAGTTACAACTCAACAGAATTTTGCAAAACATTTTTTATTTCCAATAAAGTAAAATGAAGTGACAAAAATTACTTCCAGTGAATAAAAAAAAGCAACAACAAAGTACAAAGAACAAAGTAATGTTTCCAGAGCAGGCCTTGAATGGTGCGGGGCTTAGTGCAAACATTCGGAGCGAGGTTTTATTTTTTTTTTATTTTGCACCAAGCGCAGTGCAACACGAAACACGGCAATTTGCATGTCCCTAAGGCCGGTTCTGGATGATTGTAAGAAGTAAATATCTTTCAGAAAACTTAACAGCGAGAAAAACATACACTAAAGGCTACAGCCAATTTGCAAAATCTCGGCTTGATCGAAAATCTAAGCCTTGCATACCCCTCGTTAGTAGTTATCCTAAGTATAATTGTACACTCTTAATTAGAAAAAAAATAAAAATTGTTTATATTTAAATCACATTTCTACTTATCAATCCTTAGCTTATCAGAAATTATATTTTAGGCCTACCTAGGGTATCCATTCTTCTCTTTTTAGTTGGTTGCTGAGTCAGGTCAATGGTAGGAGGTTTGAAACCTTCAGTCGATCTTTTCTCCGTAAACTTCAGCAACAATGAGTTTCCTAATCTTGAGCCCAAAAACAAGTAGTTGTCCGCATAGACGGAAGTCTGCAAGTAAAATGAATTATTATAGACACAGAGAAACAACCAAAGCAATATCTTCCTCGGCCGTTCTCTTCAGATACGTGTTGTCTGGCTGTCAGTCTCAACCTTTCTCTGCTGTCTCTGGTGTGCCTCAGGGATCACTTTTGGGCCCAGTTCTTTTCTCAATATTAATACAGCACACTCAGGGATGAAAGTTCTGCTCTTTGCCGGTGATGCAAAAATGTTGATTAAAGTTCTTAAAAAAAAAATCAAAACCCTGAATGATTGCAAAACTCTGCAGAACAGTATTGATTTATAGATGAAGTGGTGCTACGATAAAGACGATAATGACCTTGAATATTTCTAAATGCTTTTCCAGGTCTAGCTCACCCATCATCTTTCCCTAATAACTTGACAGTCAACCCCTCTCAAGTTCTCTCATGATCAAGGAATTTAGCGTCATGCTTTCTCCAAATTTAAACCCTCAAGAACATATCAATTATATCTGCAAGAGAGCTCATTCTCCCATATCATTATAAGGAACAGCCGTAAAATGTTCTCTATCAATGCATTGAGGATTCTCTTCATCCATCTAGTCAGGCCTTTAGTTGAGTTTTTGTCACCTGTTTGGAGCCCTTACCTGCTTGGGAAAATCAAGAGTCTTCAGAACATTCAGACCCGTTTAATTCTTCCGGTTGGTGTGCTGATGGGTTTCAACTACCGCACTGTTCCAATCCATGATCTACAACTTCAGTTGAACATGATGCCACTACTTACCCGATGTGAAATCAGTGACCTACTGTTCCTGAGGAAGCTTATTACCTCGGACATTGATACCCCTGATCTTTGCAAGTTGGACTTCCGCACATCTCGTTACCTGCGCCAAACCCATCTTTTTGCCAGAAGTCAGTACTTCACCCAGTACATGTTCCACAGGACTTTTCCTCACATCCAACTCTTGGCCAACAGAATACCAGATGACATCAACCTCTTTTCTACACAAGTGGTGAATCTTTCAAAAATTTAGTGCTTTGTATTTTGTGTATTTAGTTGTATTTGTATATGTGTATTTAGTGCTTTGTGCAGTGTCAGTTGGACAACCTGTCAGACATTTTGAATTCAAACTGTGTCATCCTATTCAAACTGTTGTTTTGTAACTACCATCTAGGCCTACTTCTGAAGAAGCCTCTGAAAGAGGCGAAATATTAAGTAAATTATGTGTGTGATTTTATGTGTTCTTTGACTCATCTGCAACCTTTCATCAGGTGAGTTAGCTGTGTCCTCTCCATCCTATATTTATTTATTTAATCCAAGCTAAATGCTTTTTCCTAAAAACAGAATCTTTCAAAAAGAAATTGTTTGGACTAGAAGGCGCTAGATTGATTTGTTGTTGTTGTTTCCAAGTTCCAAGTTAAATGTTTCTAATTTGATTTATTACTATTGTTATTTATTATTCATATTGAATTAAGACAAAGTCCCATCGCATGTTTGGCTTGACCCTTAGTTATAGAAGAATTGTTTAGTGTAAAAATTGTAATTTTGTTTGTTTGTCTGTATGTTAAACATGCTAAATCAATACTAACTATATAAAAAGAATACTAGAGAATACTTTAGAGAGTAAAGAGCATAGAGTAAAACACTTACACACGTAGTCAATACACTAGCAGCAGCCTTTTCAAAATGAAAGCTCCTGACACTGCGCATGCTGTCTGCGTGGAGGGTCAGAACGTACAGTTCTCCATTCTTGAGCGAGATCACGATTCTGTCATTTGAAATGAAGCTGGCCTGAGCTCCTTCTAAGCTCATTTTTACATTCTCCTGAATCTCTGAAATATGCAGCTTTGCTTAGGGAAACTTCCTGTTCACAAATATTAAATATTTAAAAATACTTTATTTCCTAACAATATTTATGCCTAGGCCTACTTGTAAACTAATACATAATTAAGATTGTTTAACCTTACTCGTTTCATCTTACCCAGGATTATAAGTATTGTGAGTATTGTGACTTTCTACAAATTCTTTACTATAAAGACTAAGTAAGACAACTTACTGTGTCAGGTGGGCATTCATCTTACAACTGCAAAAATCAGAGTTTAGGTGCTTTTTAACTAAGAAAACAAAAAGAAACTCTAAAATAAATTGAACCAAAACATCCGTTGGATACCAATGATCTTAAAACAGTGGCTTAGAACCAGGAACAAATCTAAAATAACCTAATTAACTTAGCCTACCTGTTATTTGAGACAGTTGGCTGGTTATTCTAATATAAATAAAGAAATAAATCTTTTTGCGAGTTTTCTTGGAACCATTTATTAGTAAAATGCTACAGAACTGATCATTCTTGTAGGATACCAGAAAACCTCTTTCTTTACTCGACACATTTCATACTCGGTTTTAAACCTAAGAGGCTAACGTAAGATTTAAAAACACAATCCAAAAAATACTTACTCAAGGGGAACGCTGTGGAGACCTCAGTAAGAGAGTTAAGAGAGATGCCGTACGGAGGAACGCTCTGGTTCAAGTAGATGAGTGAGTTGATGCAAAAGATGACAGTTCCCCCGAGAGGCTTGCGTACTGCGAGAGCTTGTGTACAGTCCATCGGCAGGTTGCCCACAGACCAGATCACGGGATGAACCCGCTGTTGAATGTTGAGAGAGATGGCTACCATGGCACATGTGTCTCGTCTTACGGCTATCCGTCTAGAATTAATATAAAAACCACATGTTGTTATATTTAGGCCTTACATTACACCCTTATATGGTTGGCCTTATTTGGTTGTTAAAAGATATATTTATTTTTAACGATTTCACAAAAAAAAAAGGTTCACATCTTAAGTCTTGACACAAAAAACACAACGCTGCACACAATAATTTGAATACTACTGATCTGATCATGGAAGGTTTGAGTAGGAAGATTTAAAGCCACAAATTAGCAGGATTTTTTTAGACACTAGATGGAATTGCCAAAGTATACACTTAGTATACTTTCTTGATTGCCTTCTTAATTAGGCCTACTTCACAATTAATCTAGAAGAGGTTAAGTCACTTTTCTGTCCAAGTATTCCTCAAATGGCATCGAAACCAGTTGCCATATAGACAACTTGAGGATTATTTGGATAGAAATTTAACTCTTAATGTTTTGTAGACTTTTTTTTAAATTATTTGAGTATTGCCAGTAGCATAGACATAACAACATGAGCTTGGCATTAAATAGGGTGGATAAAAGTTCCCTGGCTACTAAGGTAATATTCATGATTAATTCCCATCCACGCAGGTGTCAGGATCAGTTCTTACCCTCAAAAAACTATAAAACTTAACTCCAATAATAGAACTAATTAACGTCAACAATGTAAAACTTAACTTACCCTGGAAACGTTTTCACAGGCTCATAGAGAATGAGCAGAGTAGGTTCATAATAGCCGTAGAGAAACTGAATGTCAATAATATTGTCTAGCTTGGCATCAACGTCTTTCAAAACTATCATGTAGGATGCCAGAACGGAAGCTTTGTTCTGTGGGCCGGTAGTTGTAGTATCTTCAGACAACATATCACCTTCGTCAAGTCCTATGGTCTCTCTGCGGAACGGGAGAACTACTAACTGTCGTCCGTAGACAAGCATTACGGCACATCGTCCTTCAGGGTCTACTCGTATTATAGGGATGTGAGTGTGTTGCGTCCATCCTCCCTGATAACATCGAGAGGGTTACATGACACTAGTATTTAATTCTTTACTTTTCTTAAGTTTTGTTAAGTTATGTTAATCTTGTGTCTGATTATAAGCCTTTGGAGCTCAAACGGTCGAACAATATTCAAAAAAATATTTCAGAAGAGACGATGCATCTGTCATACATAACTCATTTCCATCAACCGTTGTTCATAGTTAACTTAGATAAACAACAATAAAAGCTAGTGGGTCAAATCACTCTGTAAAGTGTTGGCTAGGCTAATGGTAAATTTTAAAAAAGTTAACAAAGAAGTATTTCTAACTAGGTTTTTGGGTATACACAACTAAAATAATTATGTTAAAAACAAAATTAAAAAATTGATCTATTCGTCCATTATTTTTTAAGTTCAAATAGAAATAAATAAACTAAAAAAGCATTACTAGGACTAAAGCTTACTCGTATTTCTTCTTCTTCGAAATAATGTAGTGAAAGTGTTTTCAGGTCATGAGTATCCAGATCGTACTCGACGACACTTAATTTTGCATCTCTAAAACTTAACAACAGTGCATCTCTGGTTGAACCTGCTAAACTGACAGACTGCATGGACATTATGTTTCCAAACATGGTGTACGTTGCCAAACACTCCATCTTCATTTTAGGAGGAACGTCTTAAAAAGAAATAAGAAACAAGTTGCAATTAGTTTGTAAGACAGTCATAGGTGAAGGTAAAAATTATTCATTACTAAAATTTCCTCCTAAGGTTGAGTGTATAATATTGATCAGACACTAGCACAATTTGAAAGCGTGTAATTTTTTGTCTATGTTTTTTTTCCACATAGGCCTAAATAATCCTGTTGCTGACTAACGTTAACTTTTTGTTAGATAGCCTCATTGACAGCCCAACACCAAAAATTACAAATGGAATCTGAGTCCAGATACCATTACACTTCATTTCAAACTCACAGCCTTCAGATTGTAGGCAAGCACTTTAACTATGCCTTTCGGCAAGTTAATGCAAGGTAACAACATACAATACGTAATGCTATGTTGCAGACTAAAATTAAAATCAAATGGGTAGAGTGCTGATTGATTACAGTGTGTTGGCTTTAAACCCTGAAGAATGCCGTAATAGATCCAAAGTAAGATTGATTATAACTTAGCCCCAGTTGCTAGGCCTATTTCAAATCGTGGTATCAATCCATTGTGCTAGGCCTATTTAACAAAACGGCGATGTTATACAACTTTAACAAGACCAGGGGTACATTTTTAGAAAGCATTAAACAATTCCAGTGATATTGTAAATAGGTACCTACACCACCAGCTTCTTAGATAAAGATCAATAAAATAAAGTACCGTACTCAATGAATCATATTAATCTTCATCAGGCATATTAGTCTAACTTGATTATAAGCATGAATCATGGAAAGCGTTAACATGGAAAGTATATAGGATTACAGATAATTTTCCTATAGCCTCAGGTAGATCTACTTTCTAACACACACACATTCTAGCAGAAACATTCGTTCAGGCTTTGTTTTAAGTGTAACATACAGTTTACTAAAGTATGAATACTGGTAACTTACTCATATTTTTAGGCTTTTTCTTATTTGTCTCTACATCTGGTATCAAACGTAAGACACGAATTATATTTGCTCCAGCAACCACCAATGACTTCTCCGATCTGTTGAAGAAGTTGCAAGTAATGGCGTGTTCTATCCCAGTGGCGGGATGAGTTGTTTTGCAAATCGAAAACATTCTGATATGGTTGTTTCCTGAAAATAAAAAAAATATTAAGAATTTTCGATGTGACTTAATTGGAATTGAACAAGAACTTAGAGTTACTTCATCACAAGTAGGCCTAACATTTTAAATTTTTACAAGTTGAGTTAAATACCGGTACAACAAGTGATGGGCTTCTGTTAAAATATATTGTTGAAGGGACAAATTATTTAACCTTGTTTACCAATATTTCCACTCAAACTCATACCATTTCCTAAAGAGCTAACTTACCGAACCATCCATCGACAACACTGCAATAGGTACACAAGCTTAAGTTCTCAAACTATATCGTTTCTGTTCTGTATGGGCACTACGAGTGAATTTAAAACTAACTCAACTCATAAAACAAAGATACTAACTTATGTGTCTTAATTTGTTGAAGATATTAACTTATGTCAATGAAGTTTCAACGGAACTTCAAGAAGGCCTAGGCCTACCAATCTGTTTTTCTTTTCTTTTTTTTCTTTTTTTTAGATAGGTTGGCGGTCTCTTTTAACCATGCATTTTCCCGTTGACATAGACTATTAGCCTGAGCGTGGAATGTATCCAGCAAAGCAAGGGGTGAGCCGATACAGTACAAAGATGAACTGTACTGGTCAAATGTTTGCGGCAGTTACCAGGATCCGCATACACGACATCGTCGCCTTGGGCCCAAGTCCAGCATCATTTAAAGTTACTGTGCTCATTAACTTTATAAAAATTAAGTCAGGCTAACTTATGTTTGATCAATTTGTATTTTAAACTACACAAACATTATTAACCTCATATCACCTAGAAAGAGCTGAGGTTTAGAGTTTGAGAGTCTAGTTGGCTGCACTTAAGTTGGCGTCCTACATTTACTCACATACTGCAGTTTGGTTAAGGTTAGGTTTAGTTTAGAACAGTTTTTATTTTATAATCAGCTGGTAGTTAATGTATAGGTAATGTAAGTTATAATAATAAATGTAGGACGTAAACTTAAGTGCAACCACAAAAAAAAGTAACCTACCCTGTTACTTTTAGAGGAACTAGACCAATAGCGTAAATAATTTACAGGGAAAATGCATAAGGCCTAATTATTTTTTTCCATCCCAGTGAGCTTAAGAGCAAGGCAGTACAGAAGTAGACCTTCTGCCAAAGCCAGTAGGAGTAAACCTAGGACTATCTATTGTTGAGGGACTGGTAGGCCTAAGCTGTAACCAAATGTAACTAACTTATAGTTCTATCACTTTCAAAAAATTTCAAAATTTTTAACCGCTAAGCTAACACAACTGATTCTATTGACTGAAGTTCAAAGCTAGGTTAATATGCATTTAGCCTAGGCCTAAGTTATACTAATAAAATGATTATGCCTGCCTACCCTAAGTACTTATGATTTGAACAGAGTTCCAGAAAAGCCTCCCGGCTTTGATTAGAATCACTTTCACTTATGCATTTGCTTATAAAAAACACATAAGAGCCGCAAAAAGAGTAACCTCAAGTTAATGTAATTAGAGATCCTAAAACATTTTTTATCTGCATTGTTTACCGTACTGGTTTCTAATTCTATAAGATGTACATAAGGTTAAGGTTTAGTTTATAGTTTTAGTTTTAGTTTCGTAGCGTTTTGCTTGTTTTGTTTGTTTGAGATTTGAGACTGAGACTGGAGAGGTTAGGTTGGTTAGTTAGATGCAGGCAGGCAGGTAGCATTGCCATTTTGGAGCATTGAGTCATTGCGATATAAGATGTGATCTATACTATGAGAAAGCAACGTTTTTGTAAACTATAATTTGCATCATATGCCACCACGGAAATTTAATTTGGACATGTCCTGTCAAGAATTTAGGGAAGCCTTAGCTTTACGTTATGGTTATAGTTGCATTGATTATAGATCAATCGCAGGAGTGCGATTGTAAAAGATTGAATAAGACAGATGTAGGAAATAGTTATTTGTGCAACTAGTGAGAAAAGTGAGCAATTGACTCACTCGAGAGAAATCCTTACTCACGAGCCGTAGGCAAGTGAGGAATGGTTTCTCGAGTGAGGCAATTGTACTTTGAACTCGAGTTGCTCATTATACTTTTCCTACAGTTACCATGAAACAAATAAATTTGTGATGAAACATAATCTATTTTTACACAGAAGTGAACTTTGAATATAACATTTAATGTGAAGTGACAAATACAACAGTATAACAGCTGACCAGCTGATTTACAGCCAGTGCTGCCAACGTATTTCGTGCGCATAAGACGTTGCCAGCATGTTACGCGCTCACTATTTCGTGCCTTCACGTTGCAAATCTGGAGTGAGACAAAGTAATTAGAGTGAGACAATGTTAACATTGTCTCACTGATGAGCGAATTGGCCACTTTGCTTTCTCAAATCAGTGAGAGAACATGTACATTGTGAGTAACTGTAGGAAAAATATTTTAAACCTAACTCGTCTACTAAAAAATAACAGGTAAAGAAATCTCCTTTTTTATCTGTCACGTCAGGACGTCACTCTAAGAGGCATTTGTCAGTCTCCTAGACAAAATCCATCTCTTGTGAACTGGCGACCCCAGGGTAACCAAAGCCAACCTCCAGATCCCTCCTATTCTTTCTTCTGGGTTCGATGACTATCATTCGTCTTAACGTCTTCTTTTGGTAGCTCATCTTTCTTCTGCACTTTTGTATCAAATGACTCTTTTTCCTTTCTTCCTTCATTTCGCCTCTTTTTTTGGCTAAACCGAGGCGAATGCCACCAAGCTCCCCAATGGTGGTGCGTAACGATCTTCCAGGATACCAAGTGGCCACTTGGAGTAACTAGCTGTACCTGGGCATGCGGGGCTCTGCCTATGGACTCGATATTCGATTCCCTACCAGTGGGAACCTTATGGATTCTAAAAAACCAAAGACCCTACCAGAACTAAACCTCAACGTTGCATTGCCAAAATTTCAGGGGCTATCTCATCCAGAGAAACACCCACCTCTCAAAATGAGGGCATCAAAAATGTATGAGGTACTGATACTCTAAGAAGCAGAAATTTCTCATCCTCCAGGATGTCTTTCCTCATCTCCACCTTTTGGGTGTAAGTTGCTTCACATGGCCCGAGAGCCGGGAACAGTCACTCCTTCCGAAATCCAAGAACAGACTGGCTAAGAGTACAGCTCTGACCTGAAGTTGTAATGGGGGATCTGTGTGTGTAAGGGTCAGCTGCTTTGTAGACATGATTAAATCTCAACCGACTTACAGGACACTGTGATCACTTTGCACACTTCCACTCCACAACAATTGTCGCTAAGACAGAGAACCCACCAGTTCTAACACTATAGATGGTGAACTGCAGTTTGGATTTTAATTGCATGAGGGTGAGCAATAGGAATCTATTCCATGAAGTAAACGGAGCTGTATCTGATGGGAGTCACACATAAAAAATAGCTTCCCATTTAAATAAACTGTCTCAGCTATCTGACAATAACTCACATCCTCCCAGCTCGTCACAACCCTTACATGATGGCTAAGCGGTGGGAGTTAACTATATGTTATACTAGCAGAGTACCCGTCCTTCGTACGGGGTAGGCATATAAGTATAAAATGCTTATTGCAGTTATACTCAAGCTTTTGCGTTTGCAATGGGAGAGGACACAGTTTCATATAATTTGCTTCTTTAAATTCACAGTATATTTATAGTATTACACATCTACCATATAGCCATAATATTCTACCACTTCACCTAAACAAAAGAGGAAAAATAAGTTATTGAACATTTTTAGAATATCACAAATTATTAATGAAGCCAAAAACATTAAGATAACTGTAAACAATCCTACTTTGACAGTTCTCAATGTGTATCACAGTTTTTTGTTACTGCTTAGTTCAAATTAGCTGTTTTCATAAATGCAAAAAATAATAGTGCTGCACCCTATTGGTAAATCTTATAACTTGAATGCTTTTGTATAGAACCAACATTTTTAGTTGAAACAGCTGACTAATTTCTTTAATTCCCTTTAAATATGAATACTCATAAGGTTAACATGGGGAACTAAAGAGCCACTGGGGCGGAGCCCGAAAGGATTTTTGAGATAAGAATATGTCTATATGTTAATCGGGAATGGGAGCTATCATCATGCCAAATTTCAGCCAAATCCGTCCAGTAGTTAATGCGTGATTGAACTACAAACAAACACACAAACTTTCACATTTATAATATTAGTAAGAAGTAGCCTAAGATTTTAATTATAATATTAGTAAGATTTTATGGGTAAAATTGCAAAAGTTGCAATAACTTATTAACTGTAATTTATACAGTATTGGAGGTTGTACTGTTTTGTTAGAAGTTACAATAACCATAACATACAAATTTTTTATCAAAATAGATTGAGCCATTAAAAAATATACTTTTATGTTATTTTACGGGGTATGAGAAAATCACATAAACTGCAATTACTTTTTATCGAGATTTTACAGTAATGGTAGTTGTACAGTTTTGTTTACAGTTAAAAGGGCCATAAGGAACTAAATTTAGATTATAATCGCTTGGGCCTTTTGTAAAATCCAATTTCACCGCTACTTTATGTTTTTCACGGGAAAGCCGCCATTATAAAATCTAAATTCCTACCCAAATGACAAAATCACCTGGAGGTACCTTAGATTAGTACTCACAAACCAAAAATAACGTCAAAATCAGACCACATGTATAGTCTGTAGCTCTGTACACTAATAAACACACATCCAGACACATACACACAATATATTAACACCGACCACTTTTTTGAAGAAATGGTGGAGGAGTTCAACGGAAAAATGTTGCGTTGGTTGGCGTATTCATTTAATTCTATAGTAATCCAACTTATTAAAAAATAGTTTACCCAATAAAACAATTTAATTATGTATAATATCTTCTCCTCTGGTTTTATAACCAAACATGAAAGTACAATGATAAATTAATCACTAAATTATATTTTCAGTCTTTTGGTTGTTAATATTGTGAATTAAAACGACATCACAAATAATGGTTAGAAAAAAAAAGAAAACAACTTTACAAAAACTGTACCGTACCTATTAGTTTGGCTTGGTTGAAATTTTGCTGTACAATTGAAATACCAGTTTTGTACAATATACCTATTTTGTGAAACATTTTAATTTTTTGGATTAAATATCAAATATCTAAAACACTATTTCTAAGCATCCTAGCACAGGAAATAAACATTTTTTTATCTAAAAAGAAATAAAAAATGCTGTAGCCCTTACTTCTAACAATTAACAGAAACATGTTCCAATTAAAAAACTCTGTCTTATTTCTGAAACAACATTTTAGAAGTTCCGACAATATTTATTAGTGTATCTGTCGGGTGTTAACCCGCATAGTTATCACAGTCAGCTGTCGCAACAATTAGAACTGTTTACAACTGTTTTGTTAGTCAGAGGCTTTGCCTTGAATTCCTGCAGTGTTATTTACTCTGTCAATTTGGAATGCCTCACAACCCAGCCTTCTACGCTTCACAAGGTATCTTTATATTTTTATCAAAACAAAACATAATTAATTAATGAAAAGGGTTATTCTTTTACAATTTGACAGTTTTTCTATTGTTTTAGTGTTGTATAACCACAACAATAAATGTTCTAAAACAGTCTATGTGTTAAGATAACAGTCCAACCTTATTTTGATAATCCCACTATCTCAAAACACAGACTGTTAGACATGTCTTCATTATTTTTGTTAATGCGTGATATTAATCAATATTAGCTCAGAATAGTACAACTTTGAGCCACAACCGTTCTGTTGATGACATTTAATTTTAAACTTAAGTTATGCTAATTATTTAACTGACGGGCGATGGTTTTTCCATTGTCTAACAATAATAATATCATGTGCATTATATTATACACGATATGAATGATAAACGCAATGTCATACGACAATTTTGTTGTTACAAAATTTTGTCTTTCAATGGTTAAGATTACTCATTAGATCCAATTAAGAAAGGTCAATTCTGGGCCCATTTGTTATTTGTGTGTCCAGTTATGCTTTAAAACAACTGGTCAGTTTTTGATAACAAACAGACCAAGGTTTAGACAGTCCCTTTAGGCCAGGCGCACACAGGCGATTTTGAGTCGCGCAACAGTTGCCCGACTAAAATGTTCAACATTGTTTTAAATTGGAGTGCGCACACGAAGGAAACAGTCTGGGGACAGTCGCGCAACTGTTGCAACCGATGTTCCCGGACCCAATTTGCCAGCGACTGCTCTGCGACTCAATTGTTGCGGGACTGTCGCTCCAGGTTTGGTATCCATTGAAACAAGTGTAGATGCGCACACATGCAACTAAATAGTTGCTGTGTCGCTCAGTCTCACCCCAGGAGTTCAACTACTCGTGGCCAGAACTGTCACTAGTGTCAATCTCTGTCTCTAGTGTCACTAGTGTCTCTTGTTGTGTGAAGTTTTTAGAAAATTACAAGTACGAGTGTGCGTGATGAGGATGTCGAACAATTAATTATTGATGAAGTTGAGAAGAGGCCGAGTATATTTAAAGTCATTGAAACT